ATGAAGGCTACTCCATTTCTTCTGAGGGATTCTTGCCCACAGTAGTATACCTGATGGTCATCTGAGTTAAATTCACCCATTCCTGTCCATTTTAGTTCGCTGATTCCTAAGATGTCGATGTTCAGTCTTGTCATCTCTTTTTTGACTACGTCTAGCTTGCCTTGATTCATGGATCTTACATTCCAGGTTCCTATGGAGAAAAAATCTTTACAGCATCGGACTTTCCTTTCACCACCAGATATATCCACAGCTGAGCGTCCTTTCGGCTTTGGCCCAGTCGCTTCATTCTTTCTGGCGCTACTAGTACTAGCCCTCTGCTCTTCCCCAGTAGCATATTGGACACCTTCCGACCTGAGGGGCTCATCTTCCAGCGTCATATCTTTTTGCCTTTTAGTACTGTCCATGGGGTTTTCATGGCAAAGATACTGGAGTGGTTTGCCATTTCCTTCTCCAGTGGATCACATTTTGTCAGAACTCTCTGCTATAACCTGTCCGTCTTGGGTGGCCCTGCACGGCATAGCTTATAGCTTCATTGAGTTACGCAAGCCCCTTCGCCACGACAAGGCAGTAATCCATAAAAGGGGGGTCAGACTTTGCAAACCTTCAATTTTGCCCTACAAGTGATTTTTTTTTTTTTACTTTGTTCGCTTTTAGTTACCCACACTGTCTCGTGGATTCACAATTCTCTACATCAGGACTGGGAATAGTAGGGCTGTTTTTGTATTTTCTTGTGTTCAGACTCACTGCTGTCTATGGAAATTCTCAGGCATCCAGGTCATGATTGTCCCAAAAGTGCTTTTCCAAAAGGCAAGTGGACTTTGTTTTTTCCTTGAAGACATTTTGCTTCTCATTCAAGAAGCTTCTTCAGTTCTGAACTCTGATTTCAGGGAAGATGATGTAACCAACTGGGCTCTGATAGTATAGCCCCTTAACCTCTAGCACTATCTTCATCAGTTAATACAACACACAAACTTCTTCTTTATTACTTTCATTTTTGCAGGGAATGAGGTTAATCAGACTGTGCTCCATTTTCCTAGGAGGGATAGCTCTTTATAGATAACTCATCCAGAGCTGAATCATTCTAATCATTTTTTTAGTATCACCCAGGCAGCACTGTGTTAAATATCACATTGAAATGATTGATTGAAAGAATGAGTGGGCAGAATTCATTCATTTTTATCTTCATCATTTTAATATTTGAAGTTTCCATATTAATTCGTGTTTGTGTATATTACATTGCTATCTATCTTGGGACATGTTATGTAGTTTAATAGAATTAGATTACTTTAACAGTTCTAATGTGATATTTCCTTCTGAAAAATGTTCAAGAATTATAGCTAACATATAACATGATGATCAGATTATTATCTGACATGCATTTTGCACCAATCTTGTCATAGTTGATTTGGTTCTAGTTTGCTTCAAAGCTCAATTCAGAGTACTGCTTATAATTATCAAACACTGGAAGAGCTTGATGATATGTCTCAAGAATTGTTTCTTCCCTTGTGAGAATGTCCAAATTTTGCATTCCTTAGCAAATTCTATGTCTAGTAGTCCATCTATGGGCCAACTTACAGCTCCATTGGGAGTAGAGCCTGATTACAGAGTTTTTTCACTTGTTTTTTTAACACTTGTTAAGGCAATCTTATTTCCTAGAACTTCTGGTACTTAATGCTGTGCCCAGTTTGATGGCAGCACGATCCAATCTGGGTTGATCCAAGGAACCAGAGGTTTAATCTTCCAAGCTTTCAGATTCATGCTGAAGCCCATCCTCAGGGATCTTTTCTCTAGCAGAGTCCTAGAAGATGGGCTCCAGCATTAGTCCAAAAGCTCAGAAGAACCAAACCTCTGGTGCCGGTGACTGACCCAGATAGGATCCTGCAAACATTATCCTGATACATGTATATTGCCTTCATTTGCGAGTTTCATTGTAACTGAAGCTTTAATCTCTGCCTTGTGTTACATTTCCTTTTACTTTTGTTGTATATCCCTGCAAGCATAGAGTGGAATGGCCATTTATAAAATGTCAAATAAACAAATAAAGTACCTTAAATAACAAATGAAAATAAATATGTGATGTGACATAAAACTTTTACTGGATTTTACCCAGTCTTCCATTATCAACGTGATTAGAAACCTTTATGTTATTAAGGAGTTAAGGGCAGGGGGAACATTAATTTAAGGAGGAAACATTCCTGTACACTGCTAGTGTCATTATTAAATTATTTGCATCCATACATTTACATCTCATATTGTTACTTGTGTTTATTTTAACAAATAAATGCCTCATTATATGAAAGCCATCTTTTTTCTATGAGAAGGCTTTTCTCACATGTCTCAGTGAATTCAACTGCATTTTTTTCTGGAAGGCAAGGCAAGAAGCACTTTACTAATTAGCATACTTAATTTTCACACATAGTTAATAGTTTTCTGCCATGTCTAATCAGAACAGAAAGTGAGTTTTATGATTACAAAGGAGTAAATATCATTCTGTGTGTTTTCAAATACTAAACAAAAACAAACTGTAACTATCCAAGCGTTATCTAGAATGGTCTCATTTCTGTTCTTGGCAGTAATAATAATGCATGCTATTTCAAAAAATTGCTGTTTCAGGTAAATTTCAAAATGCTGTAAATCCTCTCCTCTTCTAACTTCAGGAGAAGGGAAGATGGTCAATGATTAACAAGAAAACTTGTAATGTATACAACCACTTCATTCGTTATTATTTCACATTAATATAGCATAGCAAAGAGAATTAAACTGGTATTGGGAGAGGAGAAAAACAGGTGTTAGCAATGCAATGTTTTTCAACCTTAGCACCTTTAAGATTTTTGGACTTCAATCCCCAGAATTCCTCTGCCAACATGCTGGCTGGGGAATTCTGGGAGTTGAAGTCTACACACTTTAAAGTTGTCAAGGTTGAAAAATACTATGCTAATGCCATCTTCAAAGATGTTTGTTCAAATTCCCAGTTTACGGCTTTTGAGCTACCCATTGTTTTCCTACTCGAGTTCTCATTAGATCCAGTCAAGTACTCACTTTTTCAATAATAGCCAAAGTCAACTTGAGGAATAGGATGCCCAATTCAAGTCTCCTATCTCATGCAGTCACCAAGTAGGCTTAAGGGCATCCCTAGAGAGATTCCTCCTGCATTATTGTTTTTTTTTAAATGATTGAACATGTAAGCTTTAACACATCTTTGACTGATACTCTATGCCAGAATTATTATTAAACTCAGTTTCTTATCTAAGAGCTGAGACTCATACAATTGCTACCCTAGTTAATTTTGTTTTATAGCAAAATCCTTTAAATTAGATGTGCCATGGTGGTTCAATGGTTAGAATACTGTATTGCAGGCTGACTCTGCCCACTTCCAGGAGTTCAATCCTGACAAGCTGAAGGTTGAATCAGCCTTCTTTTCTTCCAAGGTCAGTAAAATGAGTCAGACTGTTGGAGGCAATATGCTGACTCTGTAAACTGCTTAGAGAGGGCTGTAAAGTGCTATGAAGTGGTACTGTATATAGATCTATTGCTTTTAAGGTTGCTGCTTCCATTGCCCTCTTTGAATGCAGTATTGAAATCAAGGAAACATTTGGAATTAAACATACAATTTTCACCTTCACACCTTGTGTGATATTATAGTTTTCATCAGGATCTAATAATCTATTAATCCCTGACATAAATATTGTTCAAATGCTAATACTGCAGCTATAATAGTGTGTAGGAAGCTAACAATGTATGCCTGTTTATATAACAGATGATCCGTGCTAAGCAAGAGTAGGAAATATGGTATAAAATAAGGCTGAAGTAACTGGAGAAATACTAGGTAACCTTTCAAAGCAAACAATTTAGTAGGCACAGAGGAACTGATTGTGACAAGCATTAAGAAAAACAATAAAAAGTATATCTTAAATATATTGAAACTGAAGCCAAACAAGGAGGTTAAGAGACATGCTGGATATCTCAATAAAAATAACAACCCAGTGTGTTACAGCTGTAAAAAAAAAAAGAGTGGATTTCATGCAAGGAGGAATAAAAACAAACTACCAATATATTAATGCAGTTATATAAATATGTGGTTTAAAATCAGATGGGGAATTATTTCACAAAAGCTACTGTAAAGCTGAAAAACATGCTGCAAAAGGACTAAACATAATTAGAGGGCTGTAATAATTATCGAAAAAGGATAGTTATTTAGAAAGTTTGGAAGGTTTAATATTTGAAACTTTTTGATTCGGAACAAAACAAAAGGAAGAAAAAACTCTTTATTGTTGTAAAAAAGTGTCATCCTCCCTTCTTATATTAGAATGTGAAGTTATTGAAGTAAAATATGGAAAAATATGAGACCAATATTTTTTTCTCAGTATAACACATAGGTACTTTATTAGATTCGCTGCCATCCTGTATGATGATGATCATGAATTTAAATAGCCATCAAGGGGACTTATTTATGGAATTAGACAAATTTAAGGAAAACATGATTATTAGTGTTTACTAAGTGGATATTTTGATGGCTGCATATAACAATTAGAATCAATGGCAGTATGGCCTAATTGAATTACCTAATTCTTACAGTGTACATAGCTGAAAAGGATTATCTCCCTTACATCCCACTTAAAGCTTCTAGTTTGCATCTGGCTGACTCTATAATACTAAGTACTGCACTACACAGGTCTTTGGCCTGATCCACAAGGAAATTTCTTCTGTCGCTTAAATTTCATTCTCAAAGTGTGCATAGGTCTGAAGGATGTTTGTATAAGGAGCAATAATGAATTTCCAATGAAAGTGGAAAAATACAGTAGAGCCAAGGAAACTAATCTGAGAAAGGTTAATACTATAAAAAAGGAGAAAGCTATTTTCTGCAACCATTTCACAAAGTACTTGAGAGGGTTATTTGTTTTCATTTAAGTTCTGTAAACATTCTAATTGTATAATAAAAGTTGCTTTTTTATTGCAAGAGATAAACATTTGTCAATAGAAACTACATGTCAGACTGTGTGTGACACCAATGATTAATTTGTTTAATGATCCATCTAAATGAAGTCAGGCTCTAATGATAGGAATACAAGAAACCTGACAACAATAAGAGAATTGAAGTTATTAGTGATCTAAACAGTACAGCAAACCACAAAAAGAATTACGTTAGTTAAAAAAAAGCAGTTCCTAATTCTGTAGTAGGTATATAAAACCAGATGAGCAATAATTGTTTTTACTTTTCATTCTAATGGCATTGTCAACAAAAACCAGCATAAACAAAAAAAGTGCAGTTTAAGACACAATGGAGGTCTTATTCAACTTATTGAGTGAGGGTCTTGAGATAATATACATTACAAATTAGAGATGAGACAAAGAACAATCCACTTTAAAAAAAGATTTGGAAGTTAAAATATGAGGGAGACTCTTAGAGTAGATGAAGAAGGCTTCTTGATAGGCCACATTTTTGTAGGGATTTTAATCCATGAATTAGCCATTGTTCCATTAAAAAATTTAAAAATACATATGTACATAGAACTGTGGAGGTTTGTTATTCTCTCATTTCATTAGTGGCAATGCTCAGCAAATTCTAGTTTCAGTAACTATAAAGATGCAGCAACTGAAACTACAATGGTTGACCAATTAGCTGCTTGAATACCAGTAGCCTACACGTAGTGTGTAAAGACTAAACTCATTTGAAAATAAGAATCCACTTGTGTGCAGACTACTGTTTCTTTGTAGTTTATGACTTAAAAAAACCTATTGTATTATTTCCCATATAGTAAAGTGTAGCTGTCACGAATAAATGCTTAATCAGCAATAATAAAAAAGTCAGGCTATGTGAGAAGACATAGAGATATCTTAGATATATAGTTATTATGGGTAGTCCTTGGCTTACAACCACAATAACAGTTCCTTTCTTATGTAATTTTTGAAAGCTCCAGAGACCATGAGAGCACACCCCATTTTTGCATGACCTTTGCATTCTTCAAAAATCATGCGAGAACGGGCTGTGATTTCAAGAATAGCTGTTGAGTGTTGGTGGACACTGGCATGTCACCCAAAATGTCATGATGTGACACCTTTGACACATGTATCATAGGTTCACCATTACTGTCCTAGATTCTGCCAGTGTCTTCAAAATAGGCAGAACTATGGCAAATCCTGAACTTCCCTAAGAGAAGTATTCATAATGTCCTTTCCTTTGAGGATATTCAGGCAAGCTACAATCATTAGTCAAGAGGTGCACTAGTTACCAGTTCTGTTTGAAGCACTTGGTCACTCATCCTTACACTGAGTTTTGAGGAACTAGGAAGTTATATAAACAACATTTCTGGATGAACCTGACTCCTTGCTTCATTGGTACACATACGACAAATATGAATTAAATTCTCTTACAGAAAAAGACAGGAGTTTTGATATAAGAAAAGCCCAGATATATTTTTCTTCATTTATCTTTTAGTATCAATGTGTATTTAATTTATTTATTTACTTCCTCATGAGTTTAGTTGATCCACCATACGTGAGACAAGCATTTTGGATTGGTTAGAAAGCTGAAATAGATGGTCATATGAGGTTGGATTCTTTTTTCATTGCAATTCTATCACCTGTTGTCTGTCCATCTGGTCCTCTTCATTATCTGTATAATGTTCGTCACAGAGACTAAAAAATAAAAAATAAATTATAAATTTCATTTTTCTAAATAGGTGAATATCTTCTGTTGGATAGTTCTGTAGGAACACTTTGGATCTTACCAAGAGAACTTGAAATATTTCATCTTGCCACTGGAAAAACATGTGGTCTACACTATGTATAAAGATCAGTAGACAACAGTTCTAGCAAATGATCTTTGTTTGCTCCCTCTTTTGAATGTAGTTCAAAATTTGTAATTTGGATTTTAAAAAGAGCACCCAAAAATCATTGCAAATAACCAGCTGAAAGGTTCCACAGATATCACAATAGTTGCAGAAGCTGGTGGAAAAGGCTAAGCTGGATAACATAGATAGGGAGTAGGAGAAAAATGAAAACGTATCCTTGCAGACTTCTTACTTGAGGGAAGATCTCATTATTATTAGAAACAGAGAAAGTCTAATGCTTTCAAGCCATGTATAATTGAACATTTTTCAAATGAGCTAATAACTGGGAAATAAATTATATTAGCAAATAATTAGGAAAAATGCATTGATCTACATGAGGGCAGCATGCTTCTAACAATCAGAAAGAACTGCATTGTTTACAGAAAATTATTCAAAGAAATGTAAGGAATATTTTATATAAGAAAATTGCCTTTATTCACAAAGGTTTATTGAGATACCCAGAGAAGTGTTCTCAAAGCTTAATAAAAGTCAAGATTAACTAACCTTACAGCATCACCTTGACTATAGTCTTTTGTTTCATGGTTGTTATGCAAATCCCGATATGTGATTTTGGAATGTCTGTTGAAGTCTCCACAGTTTAAACCATTGAGATTTTCCCACGAATCTAAAAAGTTTAAATTACAGGCAATGGAAATTCTTAGATATCTGAAGTACAAAGCGTAAGGAAGTACAACTAGTCCTGACAATGTGTATCTTACATACAAAGTATCTTACATACTTTTGAAAAAGAAGAAAATACTCTTGTCCAAAATATTGCTGAAAACTTTTCAGTGTAATATAGAGCTCTGCTTATTTAATTGACTCTGCTATAAACTTATGGAACTATCACACAGTGCCAGGTCAGATCTACCATGCTCTACTGGAAGCAATAGCATTAATTAACGAAAAGGAAACATACCACATCACACATGATTTCTACCAAAGGATTCAACACTTCTTACATTCTCCCAACCTGCCATATTAATTAACAGGGAAGTTAATTAAATAGGAAATGTTGCTGGACTATTGGTAAGGATTTCATATTCTGAAGGCTGTTGGAAATACACCCAACTTGATGCAAAGTAGTCTATACTTCTTTTTGATTTAGACATTGATAATGTTGTGGACAAATGAATTGCTCAAAACATCATGTCTTAGGGTTTTCAATTCTACTGAAAATTTAAAATCTAAAATATGTACTTGTAACATTTACTGTTACAGGGCTTAATGGTTATAGCGGTTAAGATGCTGGGCTTGTTGACTGGAAGGTTGTCAATAATAATAATAATAATAATATAAAAATAATATAATAAAGTTGGAAGGGACCTTGGAGGTCATCTAGTCCAAACCACTGCTCAGGCAGGAAACCCTACACCATTTTAGACAAATGGCTGTCCAGTCTCTTCTTAAAAACTTCCAGTGTTGGAGCATTCACCACTTCTGGAGGCAGGTTGTTCCACTGGTTAATTGTTCTAACTGTTAAATAGTTCTGCTTTCTCCTTGTTGCTTGTCACCTTCTTGCCACTTTCCCCCACTAATGGACCAATCATTTCCTTCACTTTTTTCTTGTTTTTTACATGTTGAAAGAAGCTTTTTTGTTATTTTTTACTTTGGTCCCAAGCCTTAGTTCATTTTGAGCCTTAGCTTTCCTCAATTCATCTTTGCAGGCTCGGGCTATTTGTTGATATTCTGACTTAGTTATGTTCCCCTCTTTCCACTTTCTATACTTGTCCTTTTTATCTTTCAATTTATCAGAGATTTCTTTATGTAGCCATGCTGGTTTCTTTTGAGAGCTGTTATTTTTCCTCTTTGTTGGTTTTGGGCTTTTATTATCTCACTTTTCAAAATTTCCCAAGCTTCTTGAGTTGTTTTCCCCTTGAGGATTCTCATCCATGGAACCCTTCCCAAGCCCTCTCTAAGTTTATTGAAACTAGCTCTCTTAAAGTCCAAGACTCTAGTTTGACTGTGTTCTATTGCTTGTGCTTCCATAATGTTGAATTCCAATATTGCATGATCACTTCCTCCCAGGGTTCCTATGGCTTCAACACCTTCTATCATTTAATCTCTGTTAGTGAGAATTAGGTCCAAAATGGCTAATCCCCTAGTTCCCTTCTCTACTTTTGGGGAGACAAAATTGTCTGCTAGGTTTGTAAGGAATTGCAGTTCAAGATCCATGTACCATGGGATGGGGTGAGCTCACATTCTTGCCCTAGTTCCTGCCAACCTAGCAGTTCAAAAGCATGCCAGTGCAAGTACATAAAAGGTACCAATTTGGTGGGAAGGTAACAGCATTCCATGAGCCTCAATTTATAGTCATGCCAGCAACATGACCACAGAAGTCTCTTTAGACAACACTGGCTTCCTCAGCTAGTAAACAGAGATGAGCACCACCCTCTAGGGTCTGATGGGGGAAGCATTTCCATTTTACTTTTTTAACATCTACTGCAGTTTGACTTCCTAATAAATAAATACAATTTCTCTTTGTTGAAAGTAATTCATACAGGAGACAGGAACTGAAAGCTAGGATTCCGAACAATGAATACATATTATATAGATTTATTTCTTTGCTTGCTAATCCATGCTTCCTCACTTCTTTCCACTCCAACCCATTTCATTAATCACAAACTTTTCTTTCTGCTACATGCTCCTCTAAACCTTTGACAAGTAGCCTTCCCATAGATGACTTCTTCTGCTCTTCAATATCTTTATACTAGTTAGGTGACTTTGATTCTCTATTCCCAGTCCTCCTGCATCAGGGAAAGGAAATGGGGCTCACCATATGACCTAATCCATTAAAAAAATCTACTATAATAGCCAATCTTTTTATACCAAATATCCATCAATAGCTTTCCAATCCAACCTTTTTCCTTCAAAATCACTGTTCTTTTTTAAAAAAAACAATAAAAAAGGGAACATGATCCCTAGGACAAATTCATTCGAACTGAACTATAATTTGATCAATAAGCCTTTGTGTTTATATCCAAAGGAATATTAGAAATAGTCAGTGCAGAGGGATGCTACACCTTGACTACCTATTTATGTCTTCCATTCTTTAGCTAAGGACAGAATAAATAAAAGTGTCTACATTTCAGTTTATGAATGTAATTATGAAAATGTACACACACAAATATGCAAAAAACACACACCCTATAAGGTTACATTGTTTTACTAAGAAAGTTTAATGAACAGGCATAATTACCTGAAATACTCTTTAATTCATGGTCTAAATCTGTTAGGGTTTGTTGACTAGTGTAATACTCTAAAAAAGGATCATCGTTCTCAGTGACATCTATGCTTGAAATTTCTGAAATTTCAAAAGCAGCTTTTGATAAAAATTGTGTATTCAAATGTTTGGATGCTGTTTCAATGACTGAAGATGGGCGAGGATGGTGTTTAGCAGTTCTACAAAGGGGAATATTTGCAGAGAAAGGTCTTGAGGAAGCATGTTCTGAAACAAAAGAAGAGAAATATATCTGTTTTGAGCATTGCATTGGGAGAACTAGTATGTTTGGGAGTAAAGCACCATATTCTGGATCATGATTGTCTAAGGCAGTGTTTCTCAATCTTGGCAGGTTGAAGATGTGTAGAAGTCGGAGTCCACACATCTTCAAGGAGACAAGGCTGAGAAATACTGGTTTAAAGTAACAATAAACACAGTGAAAAATTACAATTTCTTATTATATATTTTTCATTCCATGATAAACAGTTACAACATTTCAACTATATTAGATATTAGAAAATGTACATGGGACATGATTGTTGTAATGTGGATTGTATGCTTTTTTCCAGGGTACAGTGTTTCATTCCTTTTTTAATTTTCCAGTCTCTCCTCCACAGTAATTAATCTGAATTCTGTAGTTATTAATCTATTATTTAGTTATACAGTACTTCTGCAAACTTTTATGAGTCTGCTGGCACTATTCCTCTTTTTTTCTGAATAAGACATTCTGTCTGCATGAAGAGGATGGGTTTGCTATTAGTATACTCTATTTTATCATTTCATAAGTCCTGAATAACAAAGAAGGAAAAATATTGCTGCTTCTTTCCTGATTCACGAATGAGCTACTTGATTATATAGTAAACCAGACAAATAAAACATTTATTAAACCCTAGCTCTATACATGCTACTTCAAGCAGAAGGCCAGAAAGGGGAATGAGTTTGCAGAAATGCAATTATGGAGATTACTATTTCAGGATTTTTTTAAAAAAGACAATGCAGCAGCAGTTCTATTACTATCAAAATAGTTTTTGGGAAATATGTGCATGATATGTGACTGTCCATCATATGTCAGTACATAAAAAGTCTCAACTGCTGGATTTAATGCTTCACGCTATATCTAACATCAGTCAATAAGTAAAATAATGTTCAATGAATTGAAATATTGAAATACTGATTTTCATTTGCTGGCTATAGTGTTGGGAAGGAGTTATGCAGGGAGGTTAAATTACTGCTGTCAGTACCAAATTAGTTTTGGAAAGCACTCACCTATGGATAAGTTTGACTGAGAAAGTCGAGTATGTGGAGTTTGCTTTCCCAGCCTACTTAATGGTCTACCAAGCTCACTGTTCATTATTTCTTTTACTACAGATTCATCAGCACATTCCCTTAGACTCAAGTGCCTTGTCCACTGTTCAGGTCCTGAAGATGAAAATAGATCCAATTAAGACAATCAGACGTTTTATATTAAGCATTTTTATACTGTTCAACAGCCATTGTTTTATATGCATGCACCATTAACTAAATCCTCATCTATCCTTTCTCAAAACTTGAACAATATACTGATAGAATTCTGTCTCTCTTTTTTCATCTTGAATTTTCAATAGCAACCTGACCTGTAGAAATTAAGCAGGTGAAGATTTTTCAGTTGCTTACTTCCTACCCAACTGCTGTTAAAAGCATGCAAGCAGTAAATCTGTAATCTATACTGTGAGAAAGCAAAGATGGGAAACGTATGTACCAAACAACTGAAAAAAAATTGGTTAGAAGACCAAGCTTGCATTAATTAAATCATTCATCTAAATATTCAAGTTGATTAATTGGTAGCAGCCAGTTTAAATTGGCAAGGGCAAATTTTAATAAAACAAACTATTAAAGGCAATGTCTTGATACAGCATCATTTTCTTTCTGTAATAAACACTGAAAAAAGGGAAAGTGAAAAGCGTCATAGGCTTATCAAATTAAACACAGACTTACATCCATCATTTTGTCTAAAAAACCATAATGAGCTGTTGCTAATATGAAGATCTAATTAAAAATAATCAATGTATAGATACATTACATAGTAAAAATAGGCAGGTCAAATAAAAGTTCTCATCAACTCATATACACAAAATAAAGTGAATGCAAATATTTAATTACTTTCTATTTAGCACAATTAGAGAAAAATCCAATCAGACTTATTCTGAATTCAAACCCATGATTTGAATTTCTCTCTGCCTATTTGTTTTATTTTTTTCTGGCCATTGAACAATTCATTCTGAAGTTAGGTGGCTTTCTAGAACAATAGGTCATTAGTACATGGAACTACAACAAGCAGCAAGGATTGTCAGAGTTAACAAAAAGCCTTTATGGTTAGCAATTCATATGCTACGCTATGCTACATTAGTTCTGTACCTCTGCCTGTATGAAACTAAAGTGTGAGTAATAGTGTCCACATAGGACTCTATTTACTTTGGCCTGAAGTGGGGAACTCTCTATTAGGGCAATAAGTAACATAGATAGATAAGCCTTCCATATGAAAGGGAAACATGGTTTCTGTTCAGACTTTCCCATGTGCCATTAAAATGTCCATTGTATACCCAATGGCAATTATGTTCAATTCTTCCAATTGTTAATAATTCTAATTGCCATTGCAACCAGGAGACTGTCTTTTCTTTGGTAACCATTTTTCAGAGACCACTAAGATTACAAAATTCTTATAGATAGCTATAGATATTAGAAAATACCTGGATTTTCCATCATGCTATTAAATGTTAATTGCTAATTCCTTTATAATTTTGTTTTTTTTTAAAAAAAATATGTTTACAGTTATTTTATTGTATGCCTGTCTTTTATTGTGCTTCACCTTGAGTTGAAAAGGAATTTCAGTGAAAGCTCTTGAGACTTGAGCTGACACTGTCTTGCTGTCATACTGTGTCACCAACTGGAACCTTTGAAAGACCTTTAATTCATAGCCTTTCCTCTGGACAGATTTGGTGGAAAGTAAACTTGACCCCAGCTGCAACCTCAAGATGATAAAAATTCCAAGGTTAAAACCCGAATGATCTCAGAAAATGAACTCAAAATGTTTACTTTACCAGCCAACAAAAGTAAAATGGAAAAGTGTTTTAAGACAATATGTAGCTTTTTCATTAATGACTAGGTTGTTTATTAAGTAATTGAGTTACTGTATCTCTATATGATTAATTAATGATTACCCAAAGAGCTCTCTTGATTAAGAGGCAATCGTTCCATCAACCATCACTTGAATAAAAAAAAATCAAATGCTTACATAATTATATTTCCCACTAATAAGTGTAATGTGATATTGCTTAGAAGTTACATATGGCATAAGAGAATGCCAGCTTTTTAAAATGGTGCAATCTTTTTGTGTGTCTTTTAGGTATAACATTTGTACAAATTGAAGCCAAAATTACTTGTACATAATGCTACGGTTCTGACGCACATAGAGACAAAAATGTTTAATTTAAAAATGAAAGTGAAACCATCATTGCCTGAAGATGTTCTGAATAAGCAGAAAAGAAATGTTCTTATGCATGACTACCTGGAAATGAAATGATGTTCTTTGGAGACTCGCGGGCCTTGCATGGTGAAGGGATGGATTCCATCTTAAGTTGCCGACAATTTGTACCCATTGTAAAAAATTCCTCAAGTCCTTGATATGGGTTACAAACAGGTTTCTCTCTTAGGGCTACCCGTGACAACTAGAAAGACCAAAAGAAAAAGAAAAAAAAGAAAAGACTAGAAAAACAACAGTAAGTGCTGTCTTAAATTCTTCCACATGAACTCATGCATTGAACAATCCATTTAAAGCAGTGGTTCTCAACCTTTTTAATGCTGTGACCCCCAACCGGTCGTAAGTCAAGGACTACTCAACCGTTCGTAAGTCGAGGACTACTCAACTGGTACAGCACCATTTGCAGAATGGGACTTTTGGCGGGCTCAGCAGGGCAGAGACAGCCTGGGCAATTTCTATTGGCTTTTGAAAGCCAATAGAATTAGACTCTATTCAAGAATAAAAGGGAGTAGCACAGCTAAGGAAAAGGGGAAAAAATGGCGGACTGCGTTGTTTGGCGACCCCCGTGAAATGGTCGTTCGACCCCAAATGGGGTCCTGACCCACAGGTTGAGAACCACTGATTTAAAGCATCTCAAATCCAGAGTAACTTGACGTAAGCAGAATAGTTAGGGCTATTGTCATTTACTGACTCTCCTTAAGGCTCCAAGTAAGCAATGTAATTATAGCTTGGGTTTTGCTGATGGTATTGGGTCTTTTTGGGGGGGAGGAGAGGTATTTCCCAAAAGTACCAGGACGACCTGCTGATCACCTTGCCCAACAGAGAAAGTAGAATATTAGGAAACCAACGTTAAGTATAATGCATTCAGTAGGAATATAGTAGTGATACTGCTGCCCTGTCTTGCCTACTCAGAATTAGGTTTCTTACATTTGGCGGAACTTGTTCCTAGATTGCCAAATATTAATCAAATATTTTTGCAGTCAATTCTTGTTTTACTAAACTTTCATTAAGCTCCATCTCTACATAGAACCAGTAAGGTATGCAGGCAAGATTATATTTAAATATAAATAACTCGCGATTAAGAAGGTTAAAAATGTGAACCCTGGGGGTATTCATGGTAAAAAGATAAAATGAGCACCAGGGTAATAAAAACTGTAAAAGTTTTTAATTAATTAAAACTATAAAAGTTCAATTAAAAAGCGCCAAGCTTTCGCCGTCACCTGCCGGCATCCTCAGGGCTAGCGCGCCAGAGAATGAGAGTGTCCTTTATAGGCGTGTCAAGGTTTGCGCCCGGCTCCTTGATCTCGTTATCGGGCCTGATTGATTCAATTGCGTACAGTTAACCTGTTCTTCCTTGTTCTTTTTGGTTACGTGTCTATCCTCATCCATCCTTATTTCTCTTAACCTTGGGGTGGATGGGTGACAACTCCAGTTGTTTCGGTTGTCTTTATATTCTAACTTCCCCCTAGGTTCAGGTGGTAATACACATTCCACATTCCTTTCACAGCCATATCCTGTCAAGATGTTCTTTTTAAAGTAACTCCCCCTTTTGATTCCAATACTTTCATTTTTAGTGCACTTGTCATCCGGGTGGTCCTGCGAGCTGTTACGAATCAAATACGACGTGCGGGCGGCAGTCTGGGGTGCGGATTGTTCAGCTGGGTGAAGGGGCTGTTTCCTAGTCACATGAGGATAGACACGTAACCAAAAAGAACAAGGAAGAACAGGTTAACTGTACGCAATTGAATCAATCAGGCCCGATAACGAGATCAAGGAGCTGGGCGCAAACCTTGACACGCCTATAAAGGACTCTCTCATTCTCTGGCGCGCTAGCCCTGAGGATGCCGGCAGGTGACGGCGAAAGCTTGGCGCTTTTTAATTGAACTTTTATAGTTTTAATTAATTAAAAACTTTTACAGTTTTTATTACCCTGGTGCTCATTTTATCTTTTTACCATATAAATAACTATATTTATAGTATTTATTTAATACTATGACCTGAATTAAAATTCTGAAGTTATCCACATGTATTATTTTGGGCTTCTTCACACATCATAGGAAATGTAAGCGGATTTGCATATACTGAAATATGCTTGGTTCCACAGAAATAAAATGATGTATAAAATAAAATACAAATTTTAAAGGCATACAGAAATGGGATGTCATAGCTATAGTACAGCTAAAAAAACAAAACAAATGTAGATGCTGCTGTCCAACGAACCAAATGGTCTCATTTGTCAGTGCAAATGCTGGAAGCAAATTTTACACACATGCACAGGATCAGTGGCCACTTGTACCAATATGATTTATTTTTTAAAAAATGTTACATTTAAAGGAGGAACATTAAGTAAGTGCTTAAGGCTGGTGTTATATTAGATATTTAAAACAGCCAAGCAATACAAATCTTCTTTGAGGCTATTATAAAATAATTAAAGGATACAGCATAAGAAAATTAAGTTTGTAATATTAAAAAGCCCAGTGAAATCTAATATTTTTTCACAATACAGACAGTTTCAAATGGGAATCATTAATGCATAAATATATTTAAATGAATGTAACTAACTATTTAGGGTCAAGAATCACTGAACTATTGTCTAAGACCATGTCCTTCTCAGTCAACTCCTGTCATTTAAGCTTCCACTGAAATATTATTAAAGAAAAAAAAAAGCAGAAATTGCTATAGAAAAGTGGTTGCCCAATGAAGGAAGGTAGTGTGGGAAGCAGAGATCAAAAGATAAGAAAAAAATAAAGCAAGACAGTGAACTAAATAAACTGTATATAAAAGACAATATGTATATGTCACATATTTGATAAAGGGTTGTGTGACTAAAATAACAAAAAATAACAGTGTGTGATGGGATGGATTTTTTTACTCTCTAAATGAAGTGAAGGTATAAAGAAATGAACCTATGGTAAGTTTTTTAGAAGTGAAAAAAAAGGTCAGAAAAGTCCCTTAAAGGTCAGATGTCCCTTAAGACAGACATCTAAAATGTATCTATGGGAGTGTGTAGTGATGACTCTGGATTGGCCTGTATGACCTTAAAGAGGATTTTTTACAAGAAGAACACAATTGTCAACCCAGTAAAGATTCACACATCTGCGTCAGCTGCATCTTAATGTTCAAAGAATCATCCTAGGCACGGCTATGTACTTGCTGAATAAATCACTGAGAGAAAACCATCTGCAAGAACATCAAAGATCTTTTCAACGTGTCATTGTGCAAACAAGGAGGAACTACATCAGTTTCCCTTCCTCCCCATCACCAACCAATAATAATGTGGAATTTTTTCTTCTCAGAATAATTTAAAAAGAGGAAATTGGAAGCATGAATGCCAGCTCCATTCCCATTCCTGACTGCTGAGGATTTCCTATTGTAAAATCTTCACAGAACCTCCCTCGAATTTGGTTTCTATGCATGCCAGGTAAACAGATTTATTTATTTATTTATTATAAACTCTTTTAAAACCTCTCAGAATTTCAGTGTGTGATTAGAAACTATTTCCCATGAAAGAAGTTAAAGCAAGGGGATAAAGGGCAGGAAATGGTATCAATAATCATGAAGATAGGGTCAACATATATCCTAGTAGCTTTGCTTCCCCTTGCATATAAGCTCTCTTCCGAAATTTGGGATTATATTTTGTTCTCTATAGCCTTTCCTTCCTCCCTTTGCTTCATAGATCTCATGGATTCAAGAATTCCGCCAACACATAAGGGATTTCAATTTGAGTGACAGCCTGAAAGTGCACTCTGCCATACATCTAGAAATGATTCTGACTGGAACTCTAAAAAACTAGTCCAATGAATAATGAGAAAAATCCCTTTCAAGCAAAAACAGCAGTAAGTAGTAAGAATATGTACAGTAACAGTACCAAAGAATCTTTTGGAGCAACTGATGAAGCACCATGCACGCCTTGAGACTTCTTGTTTTCTTTAACTAACTCCATAGCGGGGAAAGATTTGCTGGCAGCCAGTTGAGGACGACTTGGTGTCTGCTCATTTGACATGCAAAAGCTTTTCTTTTTGGTTTTACTATTCTTGCCTTTTGTTATTGCTCTTTCAGATAAGGAGTTGGAAGTTATGTCTTCTCTGCAGGAACAACTATCAGCCAGGTCAGCTCTTTCAAACTGTGGAGATGCTCTTGCTAAATATTTGAGACAAAAAAAAGCAGAAAGATCTTGTCAGTTTAAATCGCTGCATGTAGTCTCTCAAATAATTAGTCTTCGAGTTTTATCAGCTCACATGGAACACCAAGGAGCTTTATTCAGAACTGCTTCCCAGACTGATATACCAAAATGCAGGCTGAAGCTGCTATATTGCTAGCTTCCTGCTGATATTATTTTAGTATTTATAGTTCAAAAGCTTATTAATTAAAGTTAATCAGGAAAAAAAATCCCTGTACAATTTTCCAAGTTTCATTTATCCCTTGCCACATTTCACCTTGTCCTCTAGCTATTCTGAATACTAAATTATTAAATCCATACAGGTCTCTCGTCTAGCCATGTACCCATTAGAAATAATTTTATATATGAATGGAAATGCAGAAGGCATAAAGAATGGCCTTGAAGGACAGTGGAATGATCTGCTCCATTAGCAACAATCAGACAAGCCCACTGAGTGAGTCCATTCCAACAAACTAATTTGAACAAACATCCCAGGTCCCTCCTGTAGGAGAGGGATTGGCAGAACCTGGGGGGTGGGGAGTGAAAAAAGGAATCAGCCTAGAATCCCTACGTAGCCACAAGTGTAATAAATCCAATCCTCCTTGTGTGCCGTTGATCCTTATTTAACTCCAAACATGTGCTGACTGTTAACTGAGAAGATTCATGTGCATAGGCTGTTTAGCAATAAATCAGCTTAACTGAACCATCACATGTGGACTGGTCTTTCCCATTTGATATGTCCCTTATTCACACAGACAAAGGGAGGGAGGAAAGAAGCACATACACATTTGAAAGATTCTGTCACTTCAGCTGTTCTAATGAAGATAGTTTTAGACCTATATGGCATTGGGTTTTTTTTTTTAGTTTTGTCAATCCTACTGGGCTAAAACAAGAAGTAAAAGATACTTATATCAAAAATGTATCTGCATCCCAGTGGTCTAGTGAGTATATTAGCAGTTTTTCTGAAGATATACCCTTGAGAAAAATACAGAAGCTGTTAGCAAGGCTGTCTCTGAAGTTTGCAAACGAGGCTAGAAAAATGTTGACACAAGTCTACTTTCACAGCAGAGGGAAATGTTATAAGCTTACTTTTAGGAGTTTCTTCATGTCTGTTACAAAGAAAAGTTAAGCCGTTTTTGCTGTCAACTACAGAAGAAAGAGGTGACCTTGTAGTCATACTGATGGAGGGTGGCAGAAAAATATCTGGTTCAGTCTTCTGAGTACCACTTGAGATAAAAGGGAAAAAATAGAATTTTTAAAAAAGGAAAAAATAGAATTTAAAATGATCAAACTATCATGTTAGGGCATCATCATACAGATTTCTATGGGTTAAACATACACACAGAAATACTTTTTTAACAAATGTTGAAACTGCAACCTGTAAATTGCAATTTCTTGATGATTTCATAGTGAAAATTAATTGCTTGTAATTATTTTAATTGGAATATACTTACACCCATACATTTAACAAATACATCTTCAGAATGAAAGCCTAGTACATATAAAGATTACCTAGAGCAAGGTTCCCCAACCTTCAGTCTGTGGACTAGCACCAGTCCAGGATCTGCCAGCAACTGGACTGTGGAAACAAGGGAAGCCCCATCTGTGGTGTGCAGGCAGCACGCAAAACCACACCTTCTCCAGTCCATGGAAAAATCTTTGTCCATGAGACCAGTTCCTTGTGCTCAAAAGGTTGGGGGCCACTGACCTAGAGTATTAGCTAGCCCATTTAATTTGTGAAATCTGCAAATCTTGTAGTAGTCTTTCTGACCTTTATTCAACTCATTAATAAAAAAAGTATGTTACTGGATCAAAGATCAAAGCCTGTGACACTGCAATACGATTAAAAATATACTTGTTCTCTTTACAACAGCTGTGAATCCATTTAATAAATATGCCATTCATTTCTATTGCTTTCTTAGCAGAATCTTGTCAGTACTTTGTCAAATGTGTTCTCAAGTCCAGAGATACTGTATTCATTGCATTCCTATAATCTATTCAGTTACCTTTTTTAAAAAAAATAAATGGGCTGTTACTCAGACCACACATTTTTTGACTAACCCGTGTTCTAGTAATCACTGCACTGTTTCCAAGATGCTTACAGACTGATTGCTTTATGAGCTACCCTAGAATCTTCCAAGGTATCGTTGCCAGGTTGATCGGTCTGTGGTTCCCTAGGTCTTCCTTCCTTCCTTTTTCAAAAACTGAGACATTTGCCTTTCTCCAGTAATCTGGTAGGTCATCTAGTCTTCAGGATTTCTCAAAGACTTTTGGCCACATCTCCAGCAGTTTCTCAATATCATAGAATGCAACCCATCTTGTTCTGGAGACTCATTCAAGATCTGTTGGTATTCTCGGAATATTTATCAAGCTTAAGGTGCAATCTGGCTCTTTCACAATGAACAGCTCATAATTAGGTTGAAATAATTACCCATAATATATCAGCTCATCAGACCCAGCTTCCATTACTATAAAATTAGTGGACTCTTCTGTCTCCTCTTTACAAGCCTTATAAAAAAATAAATACATAGGTTTTATATTTTATATTACATTTTATCTTACAAATTACATTACAACATAATTGGACTTTGTATTTGTTGGAAAATTGTGATAGGTAAATAATTAGTTTGCACAAAGCACAGATTCTATTCAGTAAAGTTAGAAAAATATAGTTTGAGGTTTACTTATCAAACATTAGCAAACATCTAAAACAGCTGGCAAAAATAAGAAAAAAAAGCAGGCAAAAGTAAGGCAAACCCCCCCACCAACAATACATAAAGGATGAAGCGTGTGGAGAATTTAATAAAATGTTCTATATTATTTCCCTTTATATATCAAAAAGCACAAAACTTTCCAGATCCTCTGGAAACAATACTGTGGGTAATTAGTATAGACAGCCCCAGCTTTGTTCCAACTTTAACCCTTTAGTGTGTGGACTAGAACTGGAAAATAGAATACCAGATGATTCTGTCTTCTATTGTACACCATTTGTGTACAACAGAATTTGGTGTAACATTTGATGATGTATCCAAATGACGTCCTAGTTATGCTACACATTTTTATCCTTAAATCAAAGTTTCAGCTATCATAGCACCCCAGTGGTCATATGATTGTGATGTTGATCCTGGGCAACCAGTCTGAATTTTCAACAATCTCAGCTTTCCACACTCACATGATTGCAATTTGCAACCTTCCCTGCTGGCTTCCCACAAGCAAAGTCAACAGGGAAGCTGACAGAAAGTCAAAAGTTGTGGTCACATGAAGTCGTTGCTTAATGACACACAATGATGTGGGAACTGCTGGAATGGCTATTGCTAAGCGGCATGGTGATGCAATGAGCTTTACAACTACACTACTTAGCAATGGAAATTTGGCTCCTAATTTCTATCACTAAGCAACGACTACCTGTAGTACAATTAACTTTATTAAACTGCTGACCTCTATGTTCTGCTTAAATTTAGATAATGCTAGATTAATTTTGTTCTGCATAAATATTTTTTTTCCTTCACTAACCCAAAAAAAAAAAAGTTTGAAAGATTGAGGGCAAAGGGAGAAGGGGACAGCAAAAGATGAGGTGGTTAAATAGTGTCATGGATGCAATGAACATGAATTTGGAAAAACTTCAGGAAACCATGGAGACAGGATGGCCTGGCATGCTATGGTCCATGGGGTCATGAAAAGCCAAACATAACTGAACAACAAGAAAACCAAAACTTACTATACATGTCCCATTCAATATTGCTGTGGCCACAGCACACAGATGTGACTTAGTTAAATAGGTTGTCAAATAATTAACATAAAGCTACATACATGAAGATAACACTGTCAACACTGCAAATATTGTATATTCTTGCTTTTGACAATATGCAGAATTGTCTGGTAAATATGGGGTTAATAAAGAGCAGAAGGGGCGTTGGGGGTAAAGCCCGAGAAAGAAAGAGGAAGAAAACATTCGACCTTCACACTAATTGGATAGTGTGAGATATGACGGCTAATTTAGGGAGGGAACATGCTGATAATTTAACTGCTCAGAGGAAGAGAACTTAGATCCTAGCATCCCTCCGTTGTGCCTGTGCCGACATTTTGTAACAATAAAAGACTTTTAGGAAAATAAATGCCTGCAAGTTCTTTGGAATGTTTCATTAGCCGGACCCACAACAAACACATTATATACTTTTGTAATATATAAGTGACCTAATTAAAAGAGAACTAACTACACACTATATACTTACATCATCAAGGATCTGAATTTTCAAAGAAGGCTCAGAGCTTATAGGAACAGTATCAAGTTCTTCTTGTTCCAAAACATCTGCCCAATACTTTTTCATTTCTACTGCTGGAAATAAAAAAATAAATTTCGCCATCAACCAGTTTTTCTAAGATTGGTAATAAATATTTCTGCATGACTAGAATAACAATACCTGCTTGTTGAAAGAATATAGTTTTCTTGCCTTATATTCTAGGAACGAATGTTTTAGACATTTAGACACTTCTAAAATTAGAAGATGTATCTTTATTGAAAATTATAGTTTGCACTATATGAATCCCATGGACTTATATGAATAATAAAATATGAAAAACCACATAAGTAAAATGACAATTCTTCTATGATTTTTTTCTATGTTTAGATTATATTCTGCTGATTTTAATGAAAGTAATCTTATTAGCAATTTTAAATGTATATACAATTATGTAAATATTCTGTTTAGCTGAATAAGAACTATGATCATTCCTGCTTATTTCTAAAGAAGGCAGATCCATTTATAGTGAAAATTGATATGAGTCACAAGGAAGGTAGGTTGGACATATTCACCACCTTATTTGTAAAAGGTGGCATATAAATAATAGAACTAAATAAATAACATGGATTAAATGTGCAACTTGCTATAAAAATACACTAACTAGGAGACAAACCAATATTCCAATGCATGGAGCTTTTGAGTTCTGCTATAGAAAAAAGGAAGGATATAATTTTAATAAATAAAACATTTTCTAGGTCAAATACCAACTGTTAATAATAAATTAATAACGAGGGGGGGGTTCTTTGTCAAAACAATAGGAATCATACTAAATTGTGCTGATATCTAAAGAACAATGTTTTGCTAGACATCCAAAATTCGGTCTCTCTGCTTTCTAAAGACACTTTACCTTCTGGTGAGATGGATCCCAGAAGAGTCTAGCAGGTTTTTGATTATGCTAAATGAGGAGAAAGGTTTTCTGTCCTTATCTAAGCATATACTGTATGGAACTTGACTAGATTCCTAGTTCTCCATTCAGCACAGGGCACTAAGGTGCAGTAAAGTATTACAGCTTTCTCTTAACTCAAAGGAGTTGGGATGAAAAAAGATATCAGCTATTTTTTCTGCTGGTTCCTTCTTTATCTAGGCTCCCAAATGAAGAAAGATTCTGCCTTTGTCTCTACGCTTGTTAAGGGGCAAAGAAAAACAAAGATCCCTGTGTAATAAGCGAAACCAATACTTAGGAATTCCAACTATAGTTTTCCCTATAATTGTACCATGTGGGATTCACTAGGATCAAATTTTTAAATAATGAGAATGGGTTCAATGATTATAGTTCCTTTTTTCTCAAAAATCTTTCTGTTTTCTTTGTTTTGGGTTTGGTGCAGCAATATTTGGTTGTATTTAAACATTCCCCTGACACATGTTGGTGTTGACTAATATCTCATTTCACTTCCCCCAAAGCTAATTTACTAACTGAATTCTTGTAGTGGTTTTGTCTTAGACATACATAGTGTTGTATGAAAAGCCAACTAACCTATATCATGAGCATTTGTTATGTCTTCCTCCTCCTCCTCCTCCCCTTCCCCCTCCGCCTCCTCTTCTGCCTCTTCTTCTTCCTCTTCTCTGCTGCAAGTATCAGGAATTTCACTTGACAATGATTCCTTGAGTTTTAATTCATCCATTATGTTATATGACAATTGATCAACTGGAGTTCTAGAAATGAACATAAGGAAGATAGTGCTTTAAAAATTTAAAAATAATCTTAATAGGTGTCAAAGCAATAATTATACACTGCAAGAAAAATCAAGTGCATAATCTGTTGGTGGACTCAGTGATACCTGCTGGAGTACCGGTAGATGTTGTGGCCAAGAAACTATAATTTCAGCATCTGATCCAGATGTATGTGGAGTTGCCGATGAAGTCGCAGATTGCACAAAATGCAGTTGCTTACTTGCTGACCAACCTCAGCAGAATCACACCTAATCTGAAAGCATTCTTACTTGCTGACCAACCTCAGCAGAATCACACCTAATCTGGAAGCCAAGAAGCTTCCAAGCCCAATTTAAGATGTTAGTTTGTTGCTTATAAAACCCATTGTCTTCTCCAGGTAGAATCTGCCCACCTGATATGATATAGCCAGGAAAAGATGCTATGATACTTATTTTAGTGAAATTGAAGGTATAGAGAAGTGAAAAATGGCATTCACAACTGTAGTTCCTTTACTTTGGAACATCTTTTCCTGTGGAGCTAGTTAAGTCTCCTGCTTTTATACTTTAGGAAGGAGATCCAATGCAATTCTAGGATGCATCAACACAAAGATAGCATCAAGGACACAAGAAATGATAGTATCACTCTATACTGCACAAGTAAAGCCACACCTGGCATACTGCATTATGATACAATGATACCAAAAAAGATTCTGAAGCCTTAAAAAGAGTGCAGAGAAGAATAGAGATAATAAGGGATCTGGAGGCTAAATGGTACCATGAATGGTTAAGGGAACAAGGTATATTCAGCCTAACAAAGAGAAGGCTTAGGGTGACGTGATAGCCGTCTTCAAATACCTGAAGGGCTTTAACAGAGAAAAGGGACTGATTTATTCTCCAAGCACCTGAGGGCAGGCCAGGAAGCAATGGGTGAAAACTAGTTTGAGAGATATCTAACCTGGAATTAAGGAGAAACTTCCTGACAGTGAGAACAATTAGTCAATGGAACATCTTGATTCCCAGAGTTGAGAGAGCTCCATCGCTAGTGATTTTCAAGAAAAGACTGGATAGTCATTTGTCAGGATGGAATAAAATCTTCTGCCTTGGCCAGGGGTTTGGACTAGAAGACCTTCAAGGTCCTTTCCAGTCCTATGATTCTCTTCCATTAATTTTTGGGGGAAGTGAAGACAGCAGCATTTTTTTAAAGGTGTAATGCTTCTTTGGGTATTTTTTAATATACTGTCATAAGCCCCTAGAATGTTTTGAGAAGGATACAAGTATCTGTATTAAAAACTGCAATAATAAATAAATTGTAGTAAAATAACATTTGGTTCAAACCATCTACAGCTGAGCTACACTGAAGAATGGTCCACTGTTTTTCAACAACAACAATAGTAGTAATGTTGAAAGGGACCTTGGAGGTCATCTAGTCCATCTTCTCTGTACTCTCATCATTATTTGCTCACAAGCAACTGAATAATTCAAGGTCAACAGCAAACAATAACAGTTTACAATGCTAACATTCATTCCAATTATTTTTTTTTACTGATGAAGAATCTGAAACCTATTGCAATTGCTTGCTGGTATATAACTGGTAAACAAAAAAAAATCACGTTGGTATTTATTACTGTACTTCATTCCTAATCAGCATTTAGAATAAGCTATCCTTCTGCAAAGCAATATTTTCTAATATTATTATATAGTTTCATTTATTTTAAAATGTAGGTTTCCCTCACATATTGCAGCAATCCAGTCAATACCTTCTATGCTTCTTAATTAATAATCTTTCCATATAGTTCAAGCTATCTTCTTTGAATTCAATTTCAATAGACTTTTTCATAATTGGAGGGCTCGTCTGCACCTGACATATACCTGAATTTTCTATAACAATAAGAGAAAATTGTTAGCTATTATTTTAGCACATGAAGGTACCACTTTTACCTGATTGTAATTTTATAAAAAAAAAGTATTAAAGGTTTTAAAGAGAAGATAAAAACTAACAAAAACTAATGTAAAGAAAGACAAAAAGACAAAGAAAAGCTCCTGGGGAAAAGGATAAAAAGAAACAGAAGTGGCTTCCAATTTTCTCTGAACCAAATATGAGTACAAGATTATTTCTTACTCTATGCTGACAAAAACAAAAGCTCACTTCTTCTATTATTCAGTTTTTTTTCTAATCATTAAATGCATTTTTCCTAGTACATGCAAAAAAAGTATGTAAGGGGTTTCCAATCATCCATAAATATAGTTATTGTATTTTCTCTAATCATCTCTGCAAGTTCTATCATCTTCACTAACCATTCCTCCATTGTGAGTAGTGTCGTCCTCAACTTACAACAGTTCATTTAATGACTGTTTGAAGTTACAATGGCACAGAAAAAAGTGATCTATGACCACTTTTCACACTTACGATCATTACAGCATCCCCATGGTCATGTGACAAAAATTCAGTTGCTTGGCAACTGGTTCATATTGATGACAGTTACTGTATCCCAGGGTCATGTGATCACCTTTTGTAACCTTCTGACAAGCAAAGTCAATGCAGAAGCCAAATTCACTTAACAACCATATTCCTAACTGAACAACTGCAGTGATTCAGTGAACAACTAACTCACTTAGCAACAAGTGACTTTTTTCCTAGCTTTTCTGTCCATGAGATCCAAAAGAAAAGGGCCTGGTTTCAATTATACTTTAGTCTTTAAAAATCTTCTGAATTAGTATATGCATTTCTATCCATTTTTTCTGGTTTTATTACACACCTTCTAAACATGATAGAATATTCATTCATGTTTATCTGATTGTTAATATTCACTGTAGAATACTAACAGAATCTGTGGAATATTTAAAAGAAAATCCTTAAACATAATCCAGAATACAGTATTAATATTCACTAGAATAATATGCAACTCATAAAATCAATATTGCCATAATCATAAGCTCTTTGCACTGAAATGCCATTAAGTCTTGGCAAATAAGCTCTCCATGACCCCGGAACAAAATCAGCACAGAAGTACAGATTAAAACAAAAATGGTGAAAGAGTATAATGGCTGATTAAATATGTGAATGGTAATTTTGCATTGCATACAAAAAGAGACAAAGACAGAAAGACAAGCATACCACTTGAAGAACATGGGGCAACTTATTACTGTTTTTGTGTCCGGGAGAAGAAGCAACCATCTCCTACTTTTCGATTAAAAATAAAGTTGAACTTTTATGCTGGTTTTTCAAACGTTTTGCGTTAAAAAAACAAACATATCCAGTACCTGACCCAACCTGGCAGGAACGTTCTTCTTTACTTTTCTGGGAACAATTTCCACTTCTCCACTGATTTAGAGCTTCTTGAAAAGACTTTGCAGATTCTTTTTCATCAAAGGTACCATGCAGAAAAAATCCACCATTTTGAATCTCAGCCCAGCCCTCGGTAGAAGGTACTATAGAATGTTTCTGAATTAATTAAAAAAATAACTTGAATTAAATGAATTTGTTGTTTTTGAGTACATCACCCAGCTATAAAATAGGTTGTGGGGAGCATTTAAAAATATGCTTCGCAGAGCACACTGGCACACATAAAATTCCCAGCTGCTTCAAGAGTTTTCCAAATTATCTCTAACTACATACATGAACACAGCTGCTTTGCCAGGAAAACTATTGTTTTTGAATGCATAGATAACCAGAAATATCTTTCAAATGGCACACCTACTGTTTTCAAAGAGGGATGGGTCACTAAAGCCAATGTATTTCATTAATGCTTGGCATAGCCATAATATTGTGCCATTACTTTCATCCTTAACAACATACATACGAATAACATGTAAGGTACTACAGGTAGTCCTTGACTTATTACTAGAATTTTTGTTGCTAAGCAAGGCAGTTTTTAAGTGAGTCATGCTCAATTTTATGATTTTGTTATAATGCAATAAAAATATTTTTTTAAAAAAATATTTTAAAAAAAATGCATTATTAGCTTCAGGATAGCCCTGAAGCATGGATTAAAAAAGAAAATTAAGAAAATATTGGATATCAACTCAAATAGCTAATATTATTCAACTGTCCAACAACAAATAGAAAAGCAAATTATTTTCTTTCAAGAATTTTCCCCGAGCTGCTTTGATTAGACAACATACTAAATAAATGAATTTTGGTTATGATTACTTTATAGAAGTGTCTCTGTTTTTAAGATCCAAACTTTCTGGTTGCAAACATCATACACTACCTCAGTATTATTCGTTGATGTTGTTGGTGAAAATGGAGGAACAGCAACTACATCCTCTACTCTAGTGGTTATTTTTTTTTCCTGTCCATTATTTATGAAGTCATTAGTCTCTGTTGGACTGACAGTTTTCAGGAACTGCTGTGCAGCTTCCAGTTTTCCAACTGAGATACGTGCTTTTCCCTATGGAAAAAAAGTCATATATGAAATTCAAAACAAAACAAAAAAACTTTGTATCCCTATATAATCAACAGATGACTGTAGACATCCTATTCTGATGATAGCAGGCAGAGAAGCAAATAGTTTACAGATTAATATTTGGCTGTTCTCATTTAGTTTTCCTGCATTCTTATCTACATGTTCATTCCTTTCTCTCTCTGACTCCTTTCTAGATAACCAGCTTTGTTATTCACAGTTATTTTCCAGGATTTCAGCCATTTCCAAAAAATTCCGTTCTTTCCTTCCTTAACACATTAAGATGGCTGCCTAATGCTCATTGACACAATTAACTAGGGTATATGTAAGATATCTGTTAGCTCTCGCCTCACATTTAGGAAGCTGTGAATATTTCTCTCTCTGGGCGCAGACAGAAAATATCTGCTGAGAACTCTGCATAGGTGTCAGGAAAGGCATCTGGCCAGTAAATGTTCAGCTCCATTTAGTCTCCCCGATTCCACCCTAATGCTAAGCAGTGTGGTGGCCTAGAGGTGGAGCTCTCGCCTTACATTGAGGAGGCTGTGAATTCAATGCTAGGTAGTGGCAGATATTTTCTGTCTGGGAGCAAAGAGAAAATATCTTCTTTGAACTCTATGTGGGCATCAGGAAGGGCATCCAGCTCGTAAATGCTCAGCTCCATTCAGTTGACCTGATTCCACCCCAGTGCAAGAAATTATAGGGTCATTAAAAGAAAAAAAATATAAGATATCAGTTAGCCTAGGCTGCCTAAATTCACAACAGTAGAGCAAATTCTTAACTAAGATTAAGCAAAGAAAAACACAAATCTATCAATAAAAAGCAGGTAATTTAAATATTAAGAATTAAAAGGTACTATTTATTTTAACATTACACAGAGTATTCTATATAATAGAAATAGATAGTATAATTAAAATTGTTGTACAAAACAAATAAAGATTCAAGTTAGTGTTTACCTCAAAATACATAATTGTAAATAAACATTCATATATTAAAGAACTACATGTTATGTATCAGTTCTGGCAATCTGTGGTTTTGGGCTTTTTATTCAAAGAAAATAATACAATTTGCTCTGCTTAACCAAGAAGTAACTAATTGAATTTAATATACAAGGGAAAGTGGGAACATAAATGGCCTATACTCTATAAAACCAAAGGTCAGAAACATGAATACACAGAAAGCAGCCAGTGACACAAGCACGATTATCTTAAAGCATTAAACTTTTTAGGGGGAAAATCTAATTATAAAAATTGCTAATGTTTTACTCTAAAATTGGGGAATACTTAAGGCACTTCTAGTGACACTACATTTTTACAAACAAGATTTTACAGCATACCCCTTGCAAATTATATATCTGAACCATCAGAATTTTTTCTTCCATGTTTTGAACAAGTTCTTCAAACAATTACTCCAACAGAATCAAGAGACTAAATAACACAATATATAAATTCACTAAAATATCTGTAAGGGTTAATGAAGATATTTTAATATTATAAACAACAGTCTAATTGCATTGCTTTTTACATTCAACATTAGACTTTCTCAACTCGATGGTGTTTGGATTCTGTCTCTCTCTGTATAGTTATTCTCATTTTTTGCTAGATGCAAGGAGGCCCCCTTAGCTGCTGTTTGAGTATTTGGTTTTGGCAATAAAGAGAAGGTGACTGCATGTCAGTCCGAAGTCATGAAAGTGTAGCTCCTGGATAAACTTGTTCAAGTCACTGTTATTACAGTAAAAAGAAAAATATCAGGAACATCAGTTTTCATCAAAGAATGGCCAACTTTATTGTGAAGTCAGTCAAAGAGAAAGGATCAGTTACAAAAATGTATTTCATTTGGGAGCAAAGCATTTTTAAAGCTGCCAGTTGGCAGATAGCAAATGAAAGAAGTCTGTGAAAAAAGGATTTGAGTTCCCAACTTCAGCACGTTATGGGCAAAATGGAAATAAATAAATTATTATAACAAAAACAACCATTCAAGTGTACTGGTTCCAAAAATATTATTTATTCTGACGTATACTTTTTTATTACAAAAGACACAGCTAGTCTATGATATAACATTAAGCCATAATGTTGCTTTTAGTTAATGCCTTTTATAAATCTAATATGGCTTTGTATAATAGTTAAGCAAGCTAGTAAGTCCTTTTCATGTGTTTTTTCTAAAATTGCTTTAGCAATATGTATGAGTGAAGCCACATTAACTGCTTGCTCTGAGCTCACAATTATAGCCTTACCTTTTTTAACCTTTTCTTGTTTATCCATAAATGTTAATTCTTTCTTAGAAGAAACTAATTCATACTGTTCTAGCTTCCAAAATATCTTTATTAGAAGTAGGACAATTCAATCTATTTAAATTTTATTGAATTTTGTAGTGTTGGCCCTATTATAACTCCAAAATAACCCTCCATATTTCACCAGTTATGGGCAAATTAAGACAGACCCAGTTTATTTTCTTATTTCAAATGCCTTCTCTAATAATCCAATTTTACAAAATACTATAAAATGCATAAGTTAACCATGAGTTATATGAAGAGATATTTTTTTCATTTGTCCAGAAACTATCACCAGCCATTTTGATTAATTTATCATGTGTCATCAACTTGTCAAGTCTCAGTAACTACATGTGTAGATTTTTTTCCATAATGATCTGTCCCTAATCTTTCAGATCTTCCAATAGTGCAACCACTGAGTCCATCAACCTTGCTGTTGGCTGTCCTCATCTTCTCTTCCTTATTTCTGGCAAACTCTTTTTACATTCTTCCCAAACAATTTCTTTTTAGTTGATCCCACAGTTCGTCTTGTTCAGGACTTCAAAGCAATTTCTGATGTTCTCCTTGAAAATGATGGGTATATGCTCAAGATAATATTGTGGAAGCTGGTTGGCTTTCTTCTTCTTTAGTTTAATTCAGAACTTGCATATGAAAAGTTCATGATCTGTTCCAGCTGGCACTTGGCCATGTCTTTGATGCTATAATTGACATCTTTCATCTTTTAGCAAGAATATAGGCAATTTGATTTCTCTATATTCCATCTGACAACAACATGTATAGGGCAGCCATTTGGTTCTTTGAAGACAGTGTTAGCTATGAAGAAACCATTGGAGTGGGACAATTAACAAGTTGATCTCCTGCTTCATTTTGGTTTCCTAAGCTATCCAACTACATTTTCTTCTTTAATGTTTCCAACTTCAGCATTTCAATCTTGAATTGCAAATAGAACATCTTGCTTGCATTTGCTGTCAATTTCAAATTAAAGATAATCATAAAACTCATCCACCTTCTCTTCTTCTGCACTGGTAGAGGCAGCATAAACTTGAAGGACTGTCATACTAAAAAGTTGTCCATGAAGTCTGATATTACTGAGTCATTGGTTGTATTGTATCCAAGAACTATTGTAGCTATATCTAGTCTAGTTATAAAAGCAATATTACTCCTTGTTTTACATGTCCCGAGTAATAAACCAAGTGATCTTCTGACTAAAAGTGTTCAATCCCAGTCCTTCTCAATTTGATGATGCCTAAGATGTCAATTTGTAGCCAGTTCATTTCATCTGTCATTGGGCTAAACCCAGGGTAGGCAACCTTGGCTGTTTTATGACTCGTGGACTTTAACTCCCAGAATTCCTGGCTCAGCTGGCTCAGGAATTCTGGGAGTTGAAGTCCACGAGTCATAAAAGAGCCAAGGTTGCCTACCCCTGAGCTAAGCTTTTCTTTGTTTATTCTTCTTACATTCCATGTCCCTACTGCAACTGTATCTTTGAAACTTAAAATTTTCTTTTCCTATATGGCATCATTAGACATTCCAAAAGCTTTAATCTAGCCACATCCTAAACACCATTATCCTCAGCAATTCCTCAGAAGCATGCTGAGTACTAAACAACCTGAAGGCATCATTATTGTCAATCCTTTCATATTTTCTATTTATGTGATTTTCTTTGTAAAAATATAGGAATGGTTTGTTGTTTCCTTCTCCCACAAACCATGAATTGATGCCTTTATCACTAAAGAGATCATCTGTCTCTGACATCTTCCTATATCACTGCTGCCCAATATATCTTTGCTTTTGGGCAGTTAGGAAATCTTTGCACCCTAGGTGACCCCTATATTCGTGGCATTCTCTCCCAATGTTCTTCACTCACCCCACCCGAGAACAGCCCTGCCCACTGCAGTCATGTTGAGTTAGCACAGCAGGACTTGAGAGGCACTTTAACGTGACTAGTTTTGATTAATACACAAAATGTGTCTCCATTCACTTTACATTACATATATTAAATCAACCATACAAAAAGACTACTTGGATGTGATATTTGGAACATATGCAAATGGCTAACATGTAGTGCTTCCAAGCAGATAACCATTCCACTAAGATTAATTAAGTGAGAAGGACTCAAATGACTGACTTTGTTCCCATAGCTATGTGTTCCAAATGTTACTACACATTGTGGGGGAAGTGCATTTCCCATGCCATTATGACAGCAGAAAATAGGGGCATAAGAGATGGTGGAAGAAAACTGTACAGATCAAAAACAGCTCTAGGATGTTTTCTCTGAAAGGCAAGTCCAGCTGGAACAAAGTGAATAGCAAGAGATGTTCAGTTACCCAAAATGAATGGTTTTGTTAGAAAAGATACAAAAAACAGGTGTGATCTCTACCTCTTTTATATATAAAGTGATATATTCCTAATGAGAGTATATTCTGTTGCTTTCAATCGGGAAGGCTGCTTGCTGGGCCAAAATGCTCATGTGACCAGATTACTGCATAAATGCACTTATCCTGCAAAAATGCCATACCCATTACAAGCTATCAGCAGATAATGATAATTATTTGCATTAGCTGAACAGAGTTATGGACTTTAAACACAATTCTCTACACAGAGTTTCAAGTATGTATTGTGGGTTTTGTATTCATTTAGGGCTGTTTCTATATAATAACATTGGTAAGAGTAAATAGAGAGTAAGACTGTCAACCTGCCAAAAGAATTTCTACATATCACAGATAAAAGTGCTCCTAAATTTGCCTTGGTGGCTGTTTGTGCATGTATTTAAATAGTGGTAATATGCCTTCTAAGAAGAGTTTGCAATGATTAAATAAGGCTTTGCAAAGAATATACCTGCAAAGAAGTTGTTCTGTGGAGTTTCAGTGCTCCCTTCTGGTGTATTCTGGCAAAGCAACTAGGACAATAATCTTCTCCACATTCTAAACACACCTTGTGGGGAGGAAAAGGAAATTAAGATATAAATATCTTCAATACATACCTTTGTGATCCTAAAATACAGTTTACCTGATTGTACTTATAGTTCCCTACACTAAATAAGAAAACAGATCCAAAGAAATATAAGAAAAAGGATAAATATAAGGATATTTATAAAGCCACTGAGCTAGTTGAAGTGGGGAGGGGTTATATTGTGAGACACTAATCTTTCTCTTTTTGTACAAGAGAACTATATACTTTTGCAATCACCAGAATCATTTTTAGCTTTAAAAACTGAATAATAAATAAACAAAATTTGCATCCTTCAAGACAATGAAGCCCTCCAGTGGCTTATGAAATTCATGTACCATACAGATGCTAACAGAGTATTTTTTATTTAAGTAACTCAAGGCAAGAAAAATACATAATACTCCTTTCTCCTCCTATTTTCCTCACAACCACAACCTTTTGAGGTGAGTTTGGGCTGAGAGCAGCTGAATGGCCCAAAGTCAACCAGCCCTGCTTTCATGCCTAAGGCAGACTTGACATGATTTAATTTAATTTAATTGCTGGAGAAGAGAATTATAAAGACATTATTCTATCTAAGATTCTAAAAAAAAATTGTATTCTAATTTATTGTGTATGAACTTCTCAAAATGGAGTAATTATTCCATGTCATTATTTGAAATTGTAACCTTTTTTGGTTTGAAAAAAAATAATACAATTTTTCTGAAGAAAAATTCTCACAAATACAGCATGAATCAGGTTTGATTTTTTAAATACATTTCATAGGCCATTTTCACAAACAAAAAGATGCAATGCACAATAATTTCAGCAGCTGTTTCATTCATAATATTTTGTCCCAAAGTACCAGGTTCAGTGGTGGGATTCAGCCAGTTCGCACCACTTCAGCAGAACTAGTAGCTAATTTTTTGTTGCCCAGGCCGAGAATGGACTTCCAGAAGCAGCATCCACACAGATGTTGGGAGTTGAAGTCCATGAGTCATAAAAGAGCCAAGGTTGCCTATCCCTGGGCTAAGCTTTTCTTTGTTTATTCTTCTTACATTCCATGTCCCTACTGCAACTGTATCTTTGAAACTTAATTTTTTCTTTTCCTGTATGGCATCATTAGCAAATAGACATTCCAAAAGCTTTAATCTAGCCGGATCCTAAACACCATTATTCTCAGCAATTCCTCAGAAGCATGCTGAGTACTAAACAACCTGAAGGCATCATTATTGTCAATCCTTTCATATTTTCTATTTATGTGATTGTTGTTCACATATCTGAATCCCACCATTGACAAGGTCCTCATAGTTATCAACTAAGTTAATCAATTTTAGGTATTCTAAAGCCATGCAAGCTGGCCATGCTGAAACTTTTACATTTAGCTAAAGAATAGGCCAGAGAAGGCTTTCTCAAAGTAATTTAAGAAAATTTATTATACTAGATCTGATCACTTAATTGTTTTTAAAGAAGAAGTCAAGCATTTTTAAGGTCGGCAAAGCTTAAATATCAATTTATTATATTAATATAAAATAATTATAATAATTTCAAAAGCATTTTAGCAAAGAGAATTTTTAGCTTGTAAATTTATTTTTTTAACATAAGCCATTATAAGACAAAAATAAGAGCAGTAAGAGCAGGATTTTATCAAATACAAAATAAACTTGATACATCTTATTTTTAAAATATATTTTTCTGTCCAAAGTCAGCCAAATAATGTTCCCACCTACTTACTAGCAATGCAGCCTTCATCTCACATTGACCACAGGCCTTGCCCTTCACTTTAGGTCTTTCAGCGGCTGCATCATTTGCTGTTTTAAGTACAAATGGCTGCTTGGCTGGATCCGGAGCTGCAAAATGTAGATTTGTTTTTAAAGCAAGCAAGCAAGAAACATAGATAAATGCACTGTACTAATAAGTAATTTGGCAGTAAAGAGGACTAACATATTCCCCCTGATGGTGCTGTAGTTGTTTTCAGTATCATGAATTTGTTCTTTGTGCATTTGTTCTTTGATATAAGCTACTCAAAATTATTTAGAATTAAGTAGCCTATATGTCACAGCAATAAATAAACTATTAAATCAAAATAATTGAAATTCTAAAAGTAATCTTGGCAACCTTATAGTATAATAAATATTTTCAGACTGTTTCTCAAGGCGTATGTTACTTGTTTGATCAGTGGATCTCAAGTTCTTCTTTATGCAGATCTTTACACTGTCCACTGAAAGCATAAACAAAGTTGGCAATATGCTTATGGCTCATGACCACTCTCCCATAATGATGAAACTCCAACATTAGGTACAGGTGGCCCTTGGCTTATAATCAGTTGTTTAATTAATATTCACAATCACAACAGCCTCGGAAGGGTGTTTTATGGCCGGTTAAAGTACTGCCAGCTATTGTAAAATGTTACACCAGCACCCGGTCATATGGTTGCATTTCAGGTGCATGACAATCTGTTTGCATTTACGACCAATTGACAAGTGCCTTGCAATCATGTGATTGTCATTTGCAATCTTTTCTGCAGCTTCCCCAGGAAAGGGGGAAGCTGGAAGGGAAGGATGCAAACAGAGGGGGCGCTGGATTTGAGGTCCCCATCACGCTGAAGGAAGGGAAAATCTTCCCACATACTGAAGGAACAGCCCTAATGTGAAAACCCTAGTGAATTCCACCATTTTGAGCTTTTCAGAATGCTGCCATTTGCTAAAGTTTAACCAGATGTCATTGTTTGTGCCCTTCCCATAGGGAAAAATACTAGTGAACACCATCATCCTGAGCCTTTCCATCAGAACAGAAAATACTAGCTAATAGCAGCATTCTAAGCTTTCCAGAATGATGGTGTTGCGAGCATTTTCGCCAGATTTGAGGTCTGTTCCTCCAGCATACCAAAAGATTTCTGCTCCGGAGGGGAATTGATGGAACAGGCCTTAAATCTGGCAAAAATTCTAGCAAGTCAATTATTTCTTGCAATCATTTCCCTTGGCTTCCCAGCTGTCTGCTTAACAACTTGCAGGGTTGTTAAAAGACTGCGGGGGAGAGTGGGAATTGCACTTGTTGAGTAAAGCATGCCATCTTGCTTAATGATTACTTTGCTCAATGACCAATTCCAGGCTCAGTTGTGGTCCTAAGAGGAGGACCATTTGTAATGTTATGCACTCCCCAAATTTATCATGTAATTAAATTGATAGAAACTTGTTAAGTTATCAATTTTCACAAGATGTTTATGTTATCATCTGAAAACACATGAGATCTTGAGTAAGGCACCAAACAATTTTTAAAAATAAAGCTGTTGTTATTATGACTGGTCATGTAGTCAGCCAGATGTTTAGACTAGATTTGGTATTTTTTCCACCTATCACATATTTTCCAAGGAACCGGGATAGGCAGATGTTGTTTGATGGTGTTAAGTGTATTGTCACAAGGATGTAAGCTATTCCAAGTAAAGCTGTCTTTGCCAATTGACTGTTGGAGATTTTATTAATGCCAATGGTGTTCAAGTGTGCTCCAATTGTTTTGGTATTGCATCCAAGGTGCCTATTACTATTGGTACTATCTTTGCTTTCTTTTGCCACAATCATTGTACTTCTATTTGCAGGAGTACAATCTGCACTGTTCTCATGAATTATCGGTTATTCATGGAAAACGGATTGAAAACCATTTTGGTAGACTGGTTAATTGGGTGATTTATTTTTCTCGTTTTGAAAATCAATCTGGTAAGGCACTGTGACCAGTTAATTCTTTTAACCTACTTAAAGCGGCTTCTGTAAGTTTTCCTCAATGAAGAAATAGCCATACTTGCAACCACATTTGGATTATTGCATTATTTTTCAAATCTCAACATTGCTAATACCTTGTTACCTGGAATATGTTCTTTAAGTAGCCTCAGTTTTACTCTGCCTGAAGGAACCTGATAAGGAAGGAAGGGAGGGAGGGAGGGAGGGAGGGAGGGAGGGAGGGAGGGAGGGAGGGGGAGGGAAGGAGGAGGGAAGGGAGAAAGGGGAGGGAGGGAGGGAGGGAAGGAAGGAAGGAAGGAAGGAAGGAAGGAAGGAAGGAAGGAAGGAGGGAGGGAGGGAGGGAGGGAGGGAGGGAAGGAAGGAAGGAAGGAAGGAAGGAAGGAAGGAAGGAAGGAAGGAAGGAAGGAAGGAAGGAAGGAAAATTAAATTAAACTGTGATTTTCCAATTGTTCTATAACTTCCCTTTGTTTCCCAACACTAGCCTTCATGGGGCTGTGCCATACTTCTATTTTGAAGGCGAGTGTTTTAGATCATGTGGGAATGCAAAGACATAGTCTTTGTTAACAACTTCTTAAATCAATTGCATTTTCTCCCAGGATTTTGTGGCTACCATCCTCAGGTACAGTGTGCTCCCCAGAAAAATTAGATTAAGGAATTGCAGACAAGAGTATTAAATTAATACAATGAATTAATTAAACTTAATTTATTTCATAGTTATCTTATTTTTCTTCTTTTTAAAATGACAATCATAAGGGTTCCTCATTAAAAAAATATTTGATACTTTGTGGTCTTTAAAACTGCTGTGCTAAAACATGAGAATCATCACAGATGAGAAAAAGCTGCAAGTCATCGAGACTAATAAGAAACAATGTGAAGAAAGTTTTTTAAGATAAAGGGTTCTTTTAGGAAATGATCAATGATGGTGAAATGATCAAATTCACACACAGAAATGGAAAATTCTCAGGGATTGTGAAACACATCTCTACTAACACTTAAAACAACATTTCAAAAATCTGTAAACATGTCAGGGGTCTGGAGGCATGAGTTGCTAAAGGGAAAATTAAAATTCTTTTGTCTGTCACTTTACCTAGTTAAAATAATATATCTACGCCACAATTTGTGTTTTCAGAAACCTGGAGAACTGTGGCAAATACAACTTTACTGAGTAAATGTCCAGAGGTGGGCAACAAAAATGGCGAAAGGTCTGTGGGACAAAACATATCAAGAGAGATAAGAAGAAAAGAATCTGTATAGCCTGGGGGACAGAAGGGGAAGTAGGGACATGACTGAAACCTTTAAATACACTTAAGGCTATGAATAAGGTTCTAGAAGGCAGTGTTTTCAATATTAAGCAAAAGTCAAGGACACAAGGATATAACCTCAAACTGACAGGAGGGAAGTTCATATAAAGTATTCCTTCACAGAAAGAGTAGAGGATGCTTGGAACCAATTTCCAGCAGAGGTAGTGGGTCAATTATCAGTAACTGAGTTTAAACATACTTGAGATAAACATGTCTATCATCCGACAAAAAAATGTAAAAATTAAAAAAAGAAACCCTCAAAGGGCAAACTCAATGGATCACTTTTTCTTTTTCTGCCATCACTTTTCTGTTTCTATGTTTCTGAAGAAAATAAACATATTAATGGAATCAATGGGTGGAATTAATGGGTGGAATTTCTAAAAAAATCTCAAATGAGAATCTGCTATGATTTAGATTTTGTGACAATTTCCCTCTAGATAGCTGGGAGACAGTTGGTATGCCACATTCATGCAAAACAAGCCTTTCGATATGGGCAAAAAATCTGCCATTCAGATCCAATACTATCAAAATGTCAGAAAAAAGTTTCAATTAATCACTTTCAAGTATTTGACCACAGTAAAGCCTTCTTTACTGCAGACGTTTGAATAAAATTTATTTAAACATCCTAGCTATCTTACCTTTATAGCATTTTCTTTGTTTTGTAAGATTGATGGTTGTGTGTTTAGATTAGCTTGACCTGATTTCCATCGATACCCATTTACTCGCCTAAAGAGAGATCCAAAACTGTTTTATAAGCATTCATAAACTCCATTTTCAAAGGCTACTTTGGAATTTGTAGACATTCAAATTTATTTATTAAATTTATATGCCACCCAATTCCCAGATAGGGCAATTCAAATGTTTTCATTTAGGTAAAATCCCTGAAAATCTCGTAGGCAAATGAAGAATTGGTAATTTTGACACATTTATTAAGACAGTATAGCAATTATGATTGCCTCACTAAAAGGTGCTTCAGAGCATACAAGATCATGAATATAACATCTGTTTGCAATGCTTTAAGTACAATGCCTTTCCCCAGAATTGTCAGGGCATCTCTGCAAACCCAGAAATATAACAGAATAATAGTTTGAAGGGGCCTTGATGGTCTAATCCAATCCCCTGCTGATGCAGGAGATCTTATACCGTTTCAGATAATCTCTTTTTAAAAGCCTCCAATGATGGAGCATCTAAAACTTCTAAGGCAAGCCATTCCACTGATTAATTGTTCTAACTGTCAGGAAATTTCTCCTTATTTCTAGGTTGCTTCTCTCCTTGATTAGTTTCCATCTATTGCTTCTTGTTCTATTTTCAGGTGCTTTGGAGAATAGAGTCACAAAGATGATAAAGGGTCTGGAGGTTAACATATGATGAACGGTTGAGGAAGCTAGGTATGTCTAGCTTATTGAAGAGAAGGATTAGGGAGGACATAATAGATAACTGTCTTCCAGTACTTGAAGTGCTGTCATAGAGAAGAGGGGACTTATTCTCCAAAGCACCAGGGTCAGGACAAGCAATAATGGGTGGAAGCTTGAAGAGAGATCCAACTTAGAAGTAAGAATAAATTTTCTGACAGTGAAATAATTGATCAATGGAATAGTTTGCTCCTGGAGCTGTGGGTGCTCCATCACTGGAGGTTTTCAAAAATAGACTGGACAACCATTTGACTGGATAGTATAAATTCTCTTCCCTTGAGCAGAAGGTTGAACTAGAAGACCTTTGAGGTTCCTTCCAGCCCCATGATTTTGTATTCTATGGCCTAGAACAAAATATCTTTAACTGCCTATTTTGTTACTTATCGTCTTCTCACTGTTTGGGAATCAGAAGGAATAGGGCCTGCCCTTGCTCCTATTGTGTTTAGTACAGTGTTTCTCAACCTTGACAATTTTAAGGCATGTGGACTTCCAACCTTGACAATTTTAAGGCATGTGGACTTCAACTCCCAGAATTCCACAGCCAGCAACGCTGGGAGTTGAAGTCCACATGCCTTAAAATTGTCAAGGTTGAGAAACACTGGTTTAGTACATGTAAAGATAATTGCCAATAGACCACTTAGTTCTTGCTTGTTTTTAACCCAGGATTAAAGAAAACAGCAACAGCACTTTGATCCCAATTTAACGGCTTAGATTAGGCTTCTTTTCTGGAACAAATATTTGATATTTCTTACTTGCAGTTTGTTAAAAAAAAAGATTAAATGTTACCAACCAAAGGTTAGATAGACCAAACCCACAATATTATCTACCTGGGACTTTCAGACAAGTAGAGGCAAAGTGCACCAAGAGAAAGAATAATTGCTTCCAGTTCTAGTGCAACTTCACTCTTTTGCAAGCAAACAGCAAAACAAACAAATTAACAAACTGAAGAGCCATCATTTACTGTAAAAGAAAGGGAGGGAGAAACTTGTTTGAAACTAGAATGTGGTATTAAAGGCTGTGAGAAAAAGATACAAAAATGAATGACTATGGTCCAAGATCATTAGTAACACTTAAAACTTACACAGAACTATATATCTTATTAAGTACCCTGGAACACTAATGACCACATATCTTTAAACAGCTGATCCTGGGAAAGAAAGTTAACATTATTACTCACATCGCTGAGAAAGGGAAACAAATACAAAGAGGTTAATAAAGTAATTCTCAAATTTATACGGAAAAAAGTTACAGATATAAGGGTTGCGCTTTGTCTGAAGAATATTTCAACTTCCGAAATGGATTCTCTCAAATAGATTACAATTGGGTTTTTTTTATAAGGCAGCTATGAGCACTCGAAGCCCATAAGGACTGGATTTCTATTACAATATAAGAACTTTATAAATAATGAAGCACTCTCAAAGAATGAAAAGTGAATTTGAGGAGCTGAGAGCACTTCTGATAACAAAAACCCAATGGAAGAAAAACAAAACAAACAAACAAAAAAGGCTCCAATGCTACAGAGAAAGTTTTGGCCTAGAGCAGAAGTGTCAAACTGCCAGCCCGCGGGCTGGATGCATCATAGCGAAACCGCGCCCACCCCATTGCCGACAATGGCAAAAAAGTCGTGATATGTCACGACATGTCACGTGACATTACGAGTTTGACATCCCTGGCCTAGAGTGTATGTCTAAATGTAAATGAAGACATTTCTTAAACTTTGGTCCAGTTGCCATGATTTAACCTTTTTAGATGCTTTTGGCCAGGATAATTGACTTTTCATTTACATTTGCAATAAATTTGGGGAAGAAACCCCTGCAGTACATTCCAACGACTCTCTGCCTAACTTTTTTTTTTTTTTCATTTTAACTGAATAATTTACTTTGGTGAATAACGGAATGTCTCAGTTTAATAAACTATGGTCCAGTTCCTATGATTTTACCTTTTTAGGTATTTTGGTCTAGTGCAAAGCTACAGTATATACTAAGCCAGAAATGTATTGAATCTTCTCCTGCAGTTGCTGGCATAATAATCCAGATACAGTAGTTTTCTGTTAAAAATCACTTTTCCAGTTTGGATTTAAAGGCATGACACTTACAGTTTCTATCAAGATAGCAACTGATAGAAACATGCTGAATTGGGCTGGTGTGGTAGAGTAGGATAAGGGAGGGGAGGGACAGGTGGCTCATACATTGCTGCTTTCCACTAATTTAAATAGGAGTAGGGATGGAAAAACAATAAAAAATATCTGCTAGAGTACAGAAAGTTTTTTTTTAACACAAAATGAAAATATACAATCTTGGAGCTATTTTCCAACTGTGGTTAGACAGAGCTATTGTTATGAACTCATTTATGGAAAGTGAAGATTACTCTGAAAGAGGGTGTTCATAAATATAACGCTAAAAACTTTTATTATTCTGACTGGAGGAAAATGTCACTTTCTCACAACTAGTCATGTTAAATCGTTTCATTATTCTTTGTACTATTTTATGGTTAATTTAAAAACTGGCAGGTACTTCAGATATCATTAAATTCAGTTTTTTATCTAATGCAACATTTGCTACAATATAGCAAAAATTCATTTTAACAGACTAATGGTAAGAAATTGTCTGTTATTTCCAAATATGCAATAAATTCACAGCAAATAAAATCGCTACAAATTCACAATAAATTTGTTACAAAACTGCAGCGATTCACATCATTTGTATTAATTGACATCACTGGTGAAATGTCATTAAGCAAAAGACATTATGCAAATGGAAATTACATAATTCTGCAACAATCTCTGTCATTATTTGCAAAACATCAACATGAAAGTGACACACATTTGTGTGTCATTCCTGTCACTTGACGTGAAACAGCATAATTTGTCTCATTTGTGTAATGAAATTACTACAAATTATATATATCACTGAAGAAATGTAGTCCTTTGGATTTAAAGTCCATTATATCAAGTCCAGTAACATGAGATTTCCTTTTGCTGCCATTCTTAAAATATTCTAACTCTTCCTGCTCTAAAGGCAAAAATGCTTTTATGAATTTTCTATCCATTTATAGACATTCCTGTCCATGCACATCATTTCTTAATTCCCTGTATCTTTACACTCACTTCAGACAATTTGTCACTAATGAAAGGTTGATGTTCCCTTCCTGTAGGTGGCATTTTATCATATATTACTTCTGTCCCTCCGGCTAACAGATAGGAACTCTTATCGCTGATGATAGAAGCCGTGATATGATTCCCTTCAAGTCTCTAGTCCCAAAGCCAGAACAGAATGTGAGAAATCACAATCCTACGACTGTGTTGTTCAATGAAACATCATAAAGAGCCGAGTTGGCGCAGCAGTTAGAGTGCAGTACTGCAGGCCACTTTAGCTGACTGTGTTCAGCAGGTCAGCAGTTCAAATCTCATCGGCTCAAGGTTGACTCAGCCTTCCATCCTTCCGAGGTAGGTAAAATGAGGACCCAGATTGTTGGGGGCAATGTAAAATATATATACATTGCTTACTGGTGTACACCGCTTAGAGAGTGCTTGCACTTAAAGCGGTATATAAGTCTCATAAATAAATAATCACAGGCCAACTGCCAAATACCCATATTACAATCACATGATCACAGGGATCATGGGTAGAACTCCGAGTACGGTCATAAATCCCCATACATACCACCACATCTTTCATGTATTTAAAAAAATAAATTATGCAAGTTTCAGTATGATAGTGATGGTATTTTTCTATTCATATTTACTGCATATTGCTCTTAGTTATTATGGCTGCAGACAAGGAGGGGACAGTAAACGTACATTACTTCAAGTATGTTAAGTATATATGTATATTGAGAAAATATGCTAGAGAATATGGGAAAGGATGCTTGAATATTGAGAAAGCATGCTAGTGATATGATGATGAGATATACTCGGTGCCTGTATAAGTTATGTGTGAGAGTTTTATATATTTGTGTAACATGTAACTATATATACAAATAATACAAAGTTCAACAGAACTCCAAATGAATATTACTTTTCTATAGTTGGGTAAATGTTTCCTCTTTTACTCCCCAAATAATAATAAGAATCACTGAAGTTCTACCTACCCTCTTTCTTGTTTCTCTAGGCTCATGTGTGATTGCAGTTGCTTCAGTTTCTTCTCCATTTCTTTATTTTCAAGTTCCAGTTGAACTTTTTCCAATTGCAGCTCCTGTACACTTCTACAGAGATTAAATTCAGCTCTAAAAATGGCACCAAACTGCACTTTCTTTCTCTATTTAAAGTATATGAATGCAGCAGAAAATGGCAGATTGGTATTTTGAAGGGGTTTTTTGAATCCAGGCTATACATTTACAGCTTGGCTTTTTAATTAAAAAAAGGACGTTCTTTTTGTGCCATTGCAGATAAAGGAATTATTTAAGAACAGGCCACCAATTTGGAACAAAGAACAAAAGAAAAGAAACAAAAAACAGAAAAAGGACACCAGAAAACACGCCAATTCTAAACACATTTACATGGTGGCAGCTCTCATTTGTTTCAATAAAATTAACTTGAAATAAGTGATTTTAGGATTGTAGCTTCAGTGGTTAGAAATAGTCTGCATTTAATGATGCATATAAAAAGGCAAAAGATTATCCAAGCACTTCAAATCAATTAGGGAAAGAAACTTACTTTTCCTTCAATTTTACAGAAACTCCAGTTTTTGAACCAGGGAGTATCACAAAATCATTGATGTTCATGATTGCAAATTCAGAAAAGCTTAAAGACGTATTCAAATCATACGGTTTTGAAATCTGTTTAAAAGAGAAAAAAAACGTATATTAAAAGTTTAAAATTTCCAGTTTTATTTATAAATGGGAGAAAATAAATACTGAAGAAGGAAAGCTAAAGGTACTGTTAAGTTTCACCAATTAATTAATTAGACAGTGGATCTAACAATACTGAATAATCTCCTTTACACAAGTTAGGTGTAAAAGGCTTGGAAATAAAAGGTTGAGCTTAGCTTACCTAAGCTAAATCAGTGAGGCTTAATTAGATCTTGGCTAATTTCTTTTAATTTCAAGTAGCTTACCTTAAGCATAACAAAATCTAGATGCAAGTAATGTGTTAGAAAAGAGCAGACTGTTGATGTTTAGAAAACAATTTAATCAACTATTTGTGTTCAGATGGAATGGATCATGATGTTCACTGTAATTATATTAGCAATTTGGAAATTAAAATTATTCAATAGAAATACTATGCTTACGGGCTAGAATCAATATGAGTTCTTATGTTTAATAGCAATCTTGACTTAGATTACATCTGGAATTCAAGTTTGAGATGACTCTTACTGTTAGCATTTGTATTGGACTTTTGTGAAACTTAGGCTAAGGTTATAGTTTTGTGATGCTTATGGTAAAACTTTCCCCTATGGGTTGGATTCAGGAAGAATATAAAATATTTTGTAGTAATCATGGATGCAGATTAAGCTTTCTTGAAACTCTGCAGTGCAGTGAGTGAATATCAAATTGCCCAGCCCTCTTATGGATATTTTAACTCTAAAAAATAGTCAAAACCCTCACCATACCTAAAATCTAACCTTGATTTTAATCCACACACTAAATATTACCGTCAACATTTGAGGTTTCCTGTAAAAATTACTCTGATAACAAGCATTATGGTAAATTTTCATAAAGCTCTTTGATAAATGCAATGCCAAACCAGTCCTGCATCAGTCTTAAAAACTAGAACTCCCTGCTCTTTAATTCAATCCAAGCAAACCTTTACCACTAAATCTAGCAGCTAGGGACTTTCTGGCATGCATTCAATAGGGAAAACTGCTTGAAAAATAAATAAATAAGAGTTACAAAGAAGTGAGATGGCAAATTTCAACCCCTGGATTTGTGCTTCGTTAGTAGCCCCTGCACACATAAGGACCAAGGATATTGAGACAAATCCCTTCCCCCCCCAAAAAAAGTATTATGCCCCTTGGAAGTGTACTGGAAATAACCCAGGACTTGCTCCTGGTGCTCATGGACCTAGACATCAAACCCCACGCTGCATTTTTATTAGAAGATCCAGGGGCCAGTCTGTGCAGGTGGGCGATTCTCGGTGAATGGGGGGGGTCTTACTCCTCTACCTAAGAGTCCTTTAAATCAACACCTTCCTCGCCGATCCCCAAGAAGCTACTGCTACTTATCCCCCCCCCCTCCCCGGCTTAATTATCCCAAGGACTACGAGAACCTGGCGGCCAGAGACGGGCGCAGCCCACTCCAGGCTTCCCGGGCCGGCTCCCTTCTGCCTTCCGAAGCCTCCCCTGCCGAAACAAGCTAGCCGTTCCCACGGCAACCGGTTGCTTGGGCCTCTTCCATCTTCAAAAGCGAGGGGGTGGGCGGCGCCAGGAGTGTTCCATTTCGGAAGATTCCATTCTACGAGACCGAAAGGTGGGGGTGGCATGCAAGCTGGGTCTGACCGCGGGTTTTTTACTCTCAGGGCTTGCCTATTTAAAATGGAGCATTTGCTCCTTTTTCGAGCCCAGTGGGAGTTAATTTCCAGCAGACACGGAACTGTTTCAAGACCTGGTCGCAACAATATGTGCCATGTCCACATGATCACTAGAGGGCAGCTAAGAATACAGAATTTCATAAAGTTGGGAACTGGCTGGCTGGGGAATTCTGGGAGTTGAGGTCCACCGGTCTTAAAGTTGCCAAGGTTGGATACTTTTACTTTAGAAGGTTGGATACTTTTACTTTAGACTAGTGTATTGGAATGGTTGAGATTGCGAGCCAGCTCAGGTGGAAGGAATCAGACTGAAGAAATGGGGAAAATGTATAGATGTTTCTGCATCTGATTAAATAGCAATGCTTTTCAGAATCTCCATTAAAGTGAAGCAAATTACAGCTCAAAAAATTCTTTTTTCCCAATAGTAACTTAACAAAGAAAGCAATAAAGAGGGATGAAGGATAAAGGCTTTTCTTTATAGAGATCAAGAATAATAATTAAAGAGTTCAAAACACAGGATGCTGGCAGAGTCTTATGTTTCCATTCAGCCTTCAGTTAGGAGACTTTGGCTTTATTGCCCTACAGCACAAAATAAAGGAACAGAGTCATGTGTATTTCTTAAAAGAAGAGGGTCAAGACAGAGAGAGAAATGTTATTTTTAATACAGATAGTTTGTAAATATCTGTACGGTATAATATAGTAACTTTCTCCAACCAGATGCCCTCCAGATGTGCTGAAGCTTCAGTTCCTAGATTCCAAGGAAGCAGTTCCCATAAACCACACTATATGGAAATTCTGAGCAAAGCAATTCTAACAAAATTAGTAGGGTACCAGGATGGGAGAGCTATAAATCTGGTATCCCTAATTGCAGTCCTGGTTGCTGAAAGGAATATAGCCAAAGGAGTAATCAATTTGTCTGTTTGTCTTTCACAAATACCAGCCACAAACTAAGATCTCTGAACCTGAATTAGAATGTTACTACTATTAATAAACATTACTATTGATATGATGATACAAACAATGCATTTTCCTACCAATTTAAAACCAGAAAAATCTCTCTAATTGAGAGCCAGTTTTGTGTAGCGGTTAAAGCACCAGGCTAGAAACTGGTATTTCAGAAGCTGCTCCCACCAAAACAGGCTAGATGTTCCCACATTAGGCACAAAGATAGCTAGGTTACTTGAGCCAGTCACTCTCTCTCAACCCTAGGAAGAAAGCAGTGGCTAACCATGTTTGAAAAACTTTGCCAGAAAACTGCTGGAAGGTATCCAGATAGTCACCAGGAGTCACCACTGACTTAAAGACACAGATATATAGATATAGATCATCTTTAATATTATCAAATGCTAGGAAACCCAAAACAGAATGCAGTGTGTAATGGCTACTTTTCTCTCAATGTAGGCATAGGTATAAAGGGCAACATGCAGAATGCATAGCCACCAACTGTTTTGACTGGGATAGTCATACTTCAGAAAAAAATCTGGGTTGGCTAATTGAGCCTGAGAAACATTTTCTTGAGACCATTCTCAAGAGTAATTACCCTTGAGTGATCTAGGGAAATTTTCAAAGGGGTATTAAGGGTGGGGTGAGACCCCAAAACAGTCTTTGTGAGAGGTGTGTTTTATAGGAATGTTGATCACATGGAGGCTGTGGAGTTTGCTGGTGGTTGGAGAGAGGAAACCATAAAGTTAAGGGCTTTTAATCAACATTATTTCATTTTGTGAAGCTGATGGTTGCTCTGCTATGTAAGTTCTTAATGTAAAAGGTAGTGGTGTTCTTCCAGTAGCAGTTTATTGCTCCAGTGCAGGGGTTCTTTGTAAGAGAAGAAGGTTTTGAATGTCAAAACCTGTTTATTGTTTTAGTTCAAGGCATTTTCTTATCAATAAATGTGATTGCTGCACTGTGTTCAAATAAAAATCCAAACAAAAACACAATGCAACTAATTTTTGTTTTCTTTTATTGTACAGAAGCTAGGGGGCTTGTAAAAATTACCCAGAAAAGGAACAACATGTACTTGTCACAGTTTCATTATAATATCCATGTACACTACACATGAGTGACAATCTTTGCAAGAAATATATGCTGCAATTGGGAGACCTAGTTCTTCGGAGAAGACTCTTCAAACAGTTCAAAATACCACTTGAGTACCTATTAATCACTATATATTCTTCTAAGAGGTCTATCCTTTTATGGCAATATTTCTCAAATTGAGCAAATTCCAGATGCAGCCACTCCCAAAATTTCCAACCACATAGTTATTGCTGAAAATTCTGGAAGTTAGTCCAAATATCTTGTTGTTGTTCAACCGGGAAATTCTGTGTTTATATTTCACAAACAGAAGGCCTGCCAATGCATGCATGAGTAGAAGAATACAAATCAATTAAAGTAGGATAAATCATGCTCCTATTTCTGATCCTGTCAGTTTTCATACTATCCAAACTCTTCTGTAATGAAGCAGAAATTGCCCTGCCAAGGAAAAAAAATGTGGAAGGCAACTCCTTCCCATCCTCGGCTTTATTATACATGCACATTTATTTATTTCATAATGTTTGTAATTTATCTCTGTATATTGCATTAAGATACAATGTGATTTATTTTTGATTTAACAGTGAACCCATCCACTATAGCTGAGTAGTTTGTGTGGATCAGCCCCCTGTGCTTGTTTAGAAAATCACAGTTTAATAAATGACTGTAGCATGTGAATGCATCAATATATTAACTTACCTTTCCCCTTTCTTCTCTTTTTCCCGGAGGAAAAGTTATCTATCGTTTCAAAAAATTTTATTTGCTTTTTAATATAATCTCAGAGTGTCTTTAAGTTGTTGGCTATAAGGAAGACTATTTCTGAGAAGGATTTTCCCTGCAGCACTCCTTCTGTCTAAGTCAAGCTAAATAACATTCAAAGTATCTTTCATTTTATTTTAAAATAAGAAACAGACTTCATATCACAGAAAAACAAATTGTTCATTCTTAGATAAGGCTGTTCACTGAAATTCATTTTGTATGATCTTGTTTCCTCTGCTTTCTGCAATATTCTCCATGAAGGAATGTCTTTTAAGAAGACTAAAACTTTGACAGTGCTAGCTGTATATATTTGTTTTCATGAACAGATTCTAGTCTGAACAAAGGTCCACTTGACTCATTTATTTTGAGTCTGGTAATTACTTGGCTGGATGCATGGAAGCAGCTGGATATTTTTTTATTCAGCAAGTAATATGTCCACTATATGCAAAAATAATCAATACAGGCTGAAGCATGGGAACTGCATTCTTGGGTAATCTGGAACAAGCCGCAGTAGAAGACATCTGGAGAATATTTAGACAGTAGGCCAAAGCAAAGGTTTATAGTCTGCTTCACATCAAATCTGTTAACATATAAAATTTACAAATAAACATATTTTCTTTGGCTGAAATCTGTAGTTCACATTGTATATATATTTTTTTTTTTATTGAAAATTTTTAAATTTTACAAAAACAAATCCCCTTCCCATACCCCCCCCAACCCTACCTCACCCCCCTCCTACCCAACCTCCCAAACCCTCCCCTGGACTTCCCAGAGCTGAATACAGGCTTAATTGAGAAAAAAAACTTAAAACACTTTTAAAACCTAAACAAATTTAAATACAATCATCATTCTATATAAACTCCCTCCAAAAACGCAAATTTAAACATTACTTTCTTTGAATATCTATACCTATAATGTAAAATCTAATTTCTCCCTCTTTCTTTATCCTAATACAAAAAAAAATAAATATATAAACCTTTGTTATACCATCAAAACTAAATACTCTTAGAAAACTTAAAGTAAATACATATTTCCTTCAATCTTCATAATCTTCTCACCTATCCAAAAAAAAAAACTTAAAAATCCTAAACAAATCTAGACACATTTAGTTAAACAAATTATTTTCTCTTAAAGATATTAATAATATTTAAAAACTTGAAACACTTTTGAATCCTAAACAAATCTAAATACAATCATCATTCTATATAAACTTCCTCCAAAAACACAGATTTAAGCATTACTTTCTCTCCTAAACAAATCTAGACATTTAATTAAACAAATTATTTTCTCTTAGAAATATTAATAATAATATTTAAAAACCAAATTTAAGCTTTACTTGGAACTTAAACAAATTATACTCCCTTCAAAACACAAATTTATTAAAATCCCCTCACTTTCCAAAAACGATATAAGTTTTACTTCTCCCACAATCTCAATAGTAAACTTCTTGTCTAAAATTCTCATTCAATGTCCATAATTTTCCAATAACCAGTTGCACCCACTATAAACACAAACTTCTTATCTAAAATTTTCATTCAATATCCATAATCTTCTGTCTAATAGCCAGTTGCATCTACTATAAGCACAATCCATATCGGTCTCTCTTGCCCGCAAGCATCGAAAAAAATGCGTGGAATTCTGCCCTTGAAGATCGCTCCAAAGAGTTTGTAAGTCCTGATTGACCCACCAGCTCAGGAATCAGTACCTGTGAAACTTCCTCAACCTCCTTCTTCTGTTGGTCTTTCTCTTTACATTTATATGTTACTTTTTCTTTACATTTATATGTTGCACAAGTCTCAGGGACCGATACCTGTAAAACTTCCTCAGTGAATTCCTCCTTGTGTTGATCTTCACAGTTGTAAGTTGTACAAGTTATCCTCTGCCCGTTCCTCTCTTGTTGGTGCCCCTCAAGCTGAAATTTCCCAATTTCGATTTCAGGCAGCAATTCCACCCTTGAAGATTGCTCCAAAAACTTTGTAGGTCTAACTTCTCCCAGAGCCACCCTTGAAGATTGCTCCAAAGACTTTGTAGGTCCAACATCTCCCAGAGATTCAGAGACCGCTGAATATGAAACTTCCTTAACCTTCTTCTGTTGCTGCTTTTCTTTGGAATTATGTACTATACAAGTTGTCTTCTGCTCCTCAATCTGGACTTGTTGAGACCTAATAGATGGCGATGGACATACC